AGATCTTAGTGCACTTTTTGGGGCTGAAGAGCGGTTTAGTTTCACTGGACTGTAGAATTCAAGGAGATGCAGAGCAGTGACTTGCAGTTCTGGTGCCTAGGTTGAGCTTGGGGTCAGGAAGACCTATGGGAGAGATTTTTTTTCAAATATTTTGTTTTTTTCTAATTACATGTAAAGTGGTTTAGTGTTCATTTTTAAAAATTTTGAGTTCCAAATTCTCTCACTCCCTCTTTCCCCTCCACCCTCATTGAGAAGACAAGCAATTTGATATAGGTTATACATTTGCAGTCATGCAAAATATTTCCATGTTAGTCATGTTGAGAAAGAAAACGCAGACCAAAAAACCCAGCTAAAATAAAGTTTAAAAAAAGTATGCTTCAATCTGCATTCAGACTCCATCAGTTTTTTCTCCAGAGGTGGACAGCATTTTTCATCATGATTCCTTTGGAATTGTCTTAGATCATTGTATTGCTGAGAATAGCTAAGTCATTTACAGGTGATCATTGTATGATATTACTGTGACTGTGTACAATGTTCTCCCGGTTCTGCTCACTTCATTTTGCATCAGTTCATGTAAGTCCAGGTTTTTCTGAAAGTATCCTGCTTATTGTTTCTTGTAGCATAATAGTATTCCATTACAATCATATATTACAACTTGTTCAGCCATTCCCCAATTGATGGATATCCCCTCAATTTCCGATTCTTTGCCACCACAGAAAGAGCTGCTATGGATATTTTTGTACATGTAGGTCCTTTTCCTTTTCCTTTTTTAAATCTCTTTGGGATACAGACCTAGTAGTAGTATTGTTGGGTCAAAGGGTATGCACAGTTTGATTACCTTTTGGGCAAAGTTCCAAATTGCTCCCAACAATGGTTGGATCAGTTCACAACTCCTCCAACAATATATCAGTGTTCCAATTTTCCCACATCTTCTCCAACATTTACCATTTTCCTTTTCTGTCATATTAGCTAATCTGATAGCTATGAGGTGGTACCTCAGAGTTGTTTTAATTTGCATTTCTCTAATCAATAGTGATTTAGAGCATTTTTTTATATGACTATAGATAGCTTTGATTTCTTCATCTGAAAATTGCCTATTCATATTCCTTGACCATTGATCAGTTGGGGGATGACTTTTGTTCTTATAAATTTGACTCAGTTCTGTATATATCTGAGAAATAAGGCCTCAGAGACACTGGCTGTAAAAACTGTTTCCCAGTTTTCTGCTTTCCTTCTAATCTTGGTTGCATTGGTTTTGTGTAAACACTTTTAAATTTAATGTAATCAAAATTATCCATTTCATATCCTGTAATTCTCTCTATTTAATGTTTGGTCATAAATTCTTCCCTTCTCCATAGATCTGATAGGTAAACTATTACTTGCTCTCCTAATTTGCTTATGGCTGCACCTTTATGTTTAAATCATGTACCCATTTTGACCTTATCTTGGCATACAGTGTGAGATGCTGGTCTATACCTAGTTTCTGCCAAACTGTTTTCCAATTTTCCTCTGGGAGAGATCTTAGAAAACTTGGCCCTAGGAGGGTGGGACCCTGGGATACCCCCTTGGAGGGGAGACAATGACACCAGGAAACCCTGAGACTGCTTCTGGAGGGGTTGCTACCTAGGGAAAAATCAAAGACCAGTTAAGGAGGAACTCACCTGCAATCCATGAAGGCTTCAGGATCCCACCTTGACTGGTGTCCACTGACATTACCTTTATTTTGTCACAGGTGGCTTCATGTAAGCAACTCATAACTGGGTGCATTTGTACCAAGGGAAGGGTGGCCCATTCCCCAGAGATTCTTATCCGTACCTCTGCACCGTGGCCAATGACCCCTAGATCCCATGAGAATCATAAGGAGTGAAAGGAAGGCAAATAGGTGGGAGAGGGGTCCTGCAGTGGAGTTGGGGCAGGAGGGGGTGGGGGGAAAGGTACAGTTGAGCACCTGTTTCCTTGGACTCTAGAATTCCTTGAAAACAAGCTTTGGCCAGCCTCTAGCCCCAAGATAGTGGTGGTCCAGGAAGGGATGAGGGAGTGGTGATGGCTGGGTCACAAGTGCGGAGGACTGAGCATTGGAAGGAGGACTTCTGGGGCTAGGAAATGTGCCCTCTCTCTGACAGGGCACTTGCCACCCTTATCTGGTTACAATCAATCAATCAATCAATCAATCTACAAGCATTTATCATAACAGTACCTACCTCCTAGGGCTATTGTGAGGATCAGATGAGATAAAAACTGTAAAGCTCCTAGCACCTTGCCTGGCACATAGTAAGTACTATATAAATGTTGTTATAATAATTATAATAATAATAAGTATTTTATTATTAATGTACTTTCTCTGTGGAAGATGCTGTGCTAAGCACTGGGGATACAAAGAAAATGAAAATGCTTTCAAGGAGTTTACAATCTAATGGAAAAGGTAACATAAGTAAATAGCCGATATATACAGTGTAGTTATAGATATATGGAGGGGAATGATATGAATACATAATATATACATACAGAGAGAGAAAGGGGGAGAGAGAGAGAGAGAGAGAGAGAGAGAGAGAGAATGTTAATAACTGCTAGATTGTTTCATGAATGGACTTGAAAAACAGGTAGAGGAACTTGAATTGAATTTTGAAGGTAATAGAGAGCCAATAGATTTTTGAGCAGGAGAGTAACATGATGAGATCTGCAGAAATATAAAAGATTTATTGAAGTAGAGAGCAAAGGTGGAAAGACTTGTTAAGAGGCTACTGTAGTGGTCTAGATGGTTGGGCGGTAGTCTAGATGGTTGGGCATGAGAGCTGGCACTAGGTTGGTATTGGCCAGAACAGAGAAGAGGAGATGGATATAGGGGATGTCAAAGTAGTGGAAATGACAGGACTTGGTAACTGATTAGATGTGAGAAATGAGGAAGAGGAAAGATGAGCCCAATTTGAATATTAAAGATCATATCATGGAGGAATTAGAAGAGAAACATCAAGAACCTTTCATAGCTATGACTAGAAGGTGATTTCTTAGCCAACCAAGAGATAGAAGCTATAACAAGAGATAAAGTAGGTCATTTCAATTGCATGAAATTGAAAGGTATTTGTATGAACAAAATCGATGCAACAGGATAAGAAGAGAAGCAATTAACTGGAAAGATATTTATATCAAATATCTGTGATATCTAATCTACATAGGCAACTAACAAATATATGAAAAAAGCATTTTACGAAAGACAGTCTATGGATATGAACAGACAGTTCTTAAAAGAATTTCAAACTATTAACAACCATATGAAATAATGTTCCAAATCATTGATTAGAAGAGAAATTTTGAAAAACAACAACTCTTGAGGTTTCACCTTATGCTCAGGAGATTGGCAAAGCTGCTAAAAGACAGGAACAGGCAATAATGGAGAGATTATGGGAAAATGGACACACTATCAAAGAGGTTAACAACAATACATCTCAATGGTGATGGAGTGCTCAGGTGGAGGTGTCCTCTAGACAACAAGAGACATAGCTACAGAGGTCAGGACTGGAGATTATAGATTTCATCTACACAGAGATGGTGTTTGGAGCTGTAGAAGTGAATGAATGAGATTGCCAAGGAAGTGAAGAGGGTCCAGGACAGACCATCTGGGAGCGCTCCAATTATTAAGAAAAAGGATGAGCTAAAGAAAGAGAGGTTGGAAAGATAAGAGGAAAACCAGGCAAGTATAGTGTCTTTGAAGCCAAAGGGGAAGAGAGTATCTAGTTGTAGTGGTGGTGGTGGGGGCAATAATAAGAAAAGCTACAGAGAGGTCACAGAGGATGAGGACAGACTATATGCCATTTGATTTGTAAATTAGGAGGTCAGTGGTAACCTTTGGGTGGACATGAAAGCCAGACTACAAGGGGTTAAGGAGAAAGTAGGTAGTGAGGAAGTGAAAGAATTCAATCTGCTCAGCACAATCATCTTGCCATCTGCCCTGTCCCTTCTCCTCCTCTCTATGTGCTCCCATATTAGAATGTAAGTTCCTTGAGGTCAGAGACTGCCTCAGTTTCATATTTGGATCTGCAGTATGGGGAACTTATGTGGCAACATGCCAGGAAGATGGCTGCAGTATCTCATGGAAAGTCTGAAGGCACTTAGATGGTGAACTCTCACCAATCTGGAACTTAGAACCTCAGGGAGGGAATTAGACTGCTGAGTCAGAAGTGAAGGATTGAATGCCCAACATGGCAGGAAGATGTCCTCAGTCTTCTCAGCAAAACAAGAGGCTGGGTTATTGTTCAGTCATTCAATTGTACCCAACTCTTTGGGACTCTGTGGACCCCAGCACACCAGGCTCTTACATCCTCCAGTCTCTCTTGAAGTCTGTCCAAGCTCACGTTTGTTGTTTCCATGACACTATCTATGCCTCTCATCCTCTACCAACCTCTTTTCCTTTTGCCGTTAATCTTTCCCACTATCAAGGTATTTTTAATGAGTCCTGTCTTCTCATTATGTGGCCAAAGTATTTAAGTTTCAGCTTCAGTGTTTGACCTTCCAGTGACAGCCTGAATTAATTTCTTTAAGTATTGACTGATGTGATCTCCTTGCTGTCCAAGCGACTCTCAAAAGTCTTCTCTAGCACTACAGTTTGAAAGCGTTGATTCTGTGAAGCTCAGCTTTCCTTATAGTCCAACTCTCACAGCCATGCAATGCACTGGAAAAACATAGTTTTGATTAGAGGGACCTTTGCTGGCAAGGTTATGTCTCTGTTTTTCGGTGTGCTGTCAAGATTTGCCATTGCTTTCCTTCCAAGGAGCATCTTGCAGTGATCTTTGAGCCCAAGAGTATGAAATCTAACACTGCTTCCATTTCTTCTCTATTTGCTGGGTCATCTGCTATCAACGTGGAGTGTGCTGGCTATGATTTGCGTGGGGTCAGGGGGGAAGAAAAGGTTTGTGGCAACTGTTGTGGGAAATGTGATAGAGAATCAATTAGGGTAGAGTAGAAAAATTGTCAAATATCAAAAAGAGCTGAAATGAGGGCCGATTAATAATGATAATGGTAACTCACATTTATTTAAGGTTTGCAAAGTATTTTCCTCGAAAGGACACTCTGAAGTTTGTTTTGTGGGTATTATACAAATTTCACAGATGAGGAGGCTGAGGCTCTTAATCCACAGGAATTTTTTATGGGTTAAATCATCTCAATTTCATGACTTTCTCCAATGATTCTCAATATACCTAGAGTAGGAGAAGAGAAAGGAAATGAAGATTAGCCAAGGATAGGGATTTATAGAGCAGGAGCTAGTAGGTCAGTGAGCAAGGGATTCTAGGATAGCTAGTGAAACATTGAAATAGAAATCTGGATGTAGATATAAGTGAATATAGAGTTCAGAGATAGATTGGGAGACTAGGGTTGGGTCAAAAGATCAGAGGTCAACATATAGATGAAGAATAGGTTTAATATGAATGAGGGAGTGGGAGAAGTGGAAGGACAGGAGGGTGTGACCACAGATTGGAATTTTAAAGTTCCAGTTCTTGGAGATGGCACATTCTAAGGTATGACCTTGTAAATCTAGGTGAGCTGGATTGGAGAAGGAAGTTACTGTAGGCAAGGAGGTGGAGAGATTATGTGGTCAGATTGTTAGAGGGATCATTAATTGGAAGTTTCTAAGGATTATGAAAGGAAATGGATTAGAGAAAGACCAGGATCCAAGTGCTAAGCAAGAAAGTGCAGAATAGGAAGAATTTTGGGGCACAGGGGTGTTGTGGTAAATGTTTAACAACCAGCTCTCCAAAAAATGTAGCTACAACACATTATTAAGTTAAATCTGCATTATCACCATTTTCTCCATCACTTTCCTAAGTCTAGACAATCAATAAAATAATAAATCAAATCATGATTTGTAGTGTTTACCAATTTCTGAGATGCAAATGCTCGCACTGAAAATTTAACAATTGGTTCTTGAGAACCAATTTGAGCTGGCACATTCCTGGGGATGGGATAGGAATGAAGATCCAGCAAAGGAGACTGAGGAGAGGTCAGACAGGTAGAAAGAGAACAAAAAGAGAGTAGTGTAATGAAACCCTAGAGAGGAGGGAGTCTCCAGGATGAGAGGGAAGTTAACAGTGATTCATATGCAATAGAGAGGTCAGGAAGGATGAGAATTGAGGACAAGTCACTGGATCTGTCAATTCAAAGATCGTTGGTACGTTTGGAGAGAGCAGTTTTAATTGAGTGATGGGTTTGGAAGCAGGATTGCAAAAGGGATGAGAAGTGAGTGAGAGAAGAAGTTGGAGCATTGAGTTGAAACAGGTTTTTTTTTTAATTTAGTAGTTTAATTCTGAATGGGAGTAGAGATATAGGACAACGCTTGAGGGGATGGTTGGATCTAGAGAGACCTTTTTAAATAAGAAGGAGAGTTGAGTGTATTTGTAGGCAACAGGGAAAGAAATAGTAGTTAAGGAGAGATTTAAGATAAGTAGAGAAGAAATAATTATAGGTTCAATTTTCTAGAGAGTACCGGGGAGGCTATGTTCATGGGTTAGCATGTGGAGGCGTTGGCCTTGGCAAGAAAGGTCACTTCATCAGAATGGAAAAGAGAATAAGGGATGATGTGAAATGGTGATGCCTATGACGCTATGTTTCATCAATTGTGCTCTGTACAGGACCAGGCAAAACACTCACCTGTGTGGGATAGTGTGAGAGGCTTAAGGAGAGAAAACAAGGTTTGGAACAATTGTTAGGGGTATTGGGACAAAGAGTCAATTAGAAAGGAGTAAAAGGGGTTGCTTTGCCACAGTGATGGCCCAAACAAGTTTGGAGAACATAAATAGTGGATCCAGTCACTTCATTTACATGATTTCTTCCAACTCTGTTTAGCAACTGAAAGGGACCCTAGTTAGAACATTGAATTCCATAACCTTGGAACATGTAATATTAGAGCTAGATGAGAGACTCAGAACACAGAATATTGGTTGGAAGGATCCTTGGAATAGTAAACATAAGAACTGGAAGAGACTTTCTTATGTAGACTGTCAGAAATAGAAATCCTCTAGTTCAGTGGCTCTCAAAATTTGGTCTCTGAGACCCTTTTAGAGGGTCTGTGAGCTCAAACCTATTTTCGTAAAAATGCTAAAACCATTTAATTTCTAATATGGCAAATATTGATAGATACAACATACATGAACCAAAGCTCTCTGAGGAATCTTGGATGACGTTTAAGAATGTAAAATGGTCTTGAGACCAAAAAGTTTGGAATGGCTGATCTAGTGCACCCGTCCCTTTCATTAGCAAAGGGTACAACTGTTTGAAAAAGACCCAAACAGGGGAAGTTGTTTGTTCAAGGTTTTACAACAAGTCAGTAGCAGAGCTGGGGCTGGAAGCCAGGACTCCAGGTTCTTAGGCCAGTGACCTCTTCCTTGACCTCAACACTCTAATGTTAAGGGATCCAAGTTAGAATGAGCAAGACTGGTTTTCTTAATTCCAGCAAGTCCTGTAGGTGCATCAAAGAGTTCACCTTTGCTCTGATTTCATCTTGCGTTGTAGGGCCCTTTATCAGTGATGGAATACTGGTAGCCCTGAGGATTCAGTTTTTGCAGCATTAAATGTTACTGCCTGAATTAGTGGTTAAGGTAGTGCAAAAAACTTAGCCCATTTGGGAACTGATGCACCTGAGTCCAGAAGGTGTGAGGGCAAGTGCCAATCTTTCCTTCTCCTTCTTTCCAGGTTTAATGAGAAGGTACAGTTATGACACACCGTATTTTTCTTTTCTGGGTCAGGGACAGGTCATGTCCTACCTTTTATTTCTGGCCAACTTTTTTTTTTTAGATCAGACCTGGAGTTTGAAACTTGATCAATATATCAGCCAGTGTTTTTGTCCACCACCTACTATTTGTTCTGCCTCCATACTGGACACTGTGGGCATACAAGAATTGTAGATTGCCAGATCTAACTTGCAGTGGGACCATGTGGGGGAAGTAAGTCATTTTCTCTCTCTGGGTCCCTGCTTCCTCATTTGCATTATGAGGGTTAGATTAGATCATCTTTAAGGTCTCTGCCATAGACTCATTGAACGTTCAATGTTTAGAGTTTTTGTTTCAAGTCTCTCCCCACTCTAGTCCATTTTCCACTCAGCTGTCAAATTAATCTTCCTAGAGCCCAAGTCTTACCATTTCACACTCCATGCCCCAAATAAGTAAACTCCCATGGCTCCTATCACCTCCAGAATCAAATATAAAGTCTTCTATGTGGCATTCAAAGCCCTTCATAATCTGCTCCCCTCCTGCCTTTCCAGGCTTCTTGTGCCTTCCACCCCCTTGTCCCATGGTCCATTGACACTGGCCTCTGCTGTTCTTCACAGAAGACATTCTACCTTCTGACTCCAGACATTTTCCTTGGCTGTCTCTCAGGCCTGGAATCCTCTCTCTCCTCATCTCTGCATTTTGACTTCCCTACACGCTTTCAAGTTCCATCTAAAATCCCATCTTCTATCTACAGGAAGCTTTGCCCAAACCCCCTTAGTGCCTGTGATTTCTCTTGTTGATTATCTCTAATTAATACTGTATCTTTCTTGTTTGTAAATAGCTGTCATCAAGTTGTTTCCCTCATTAGTCTGTGAGTTTCTTGAGGACAGAGACTGTCTTTTGCCTTTTTGTATCCCCAGAGCTTAGCACATTGCCAGATGCATAGTAGGCCCTTAATAAATGCCTGTTGACTTGTTGACTCAGAGCCCCTTGAGACCTTGCTCTAGCCCATCTTTCCAGAGTGACTTCATGTTGCCTTTCCTCCTGGAATTGACATTGCAGACAAGATGGCCTACTCACTGTGTCCTGAACAAGACATCCCACCTCTGGCCTCCGTGCCTTTTCCTCTAATGTCCTCAGTGCCTGGAATAGAACAAGAAAAATTTTTGAGTCAACAAGCATTTATTAAGCACCTAATATATCCCAGGCACTTTGCTAAGCCCTGAAAATTTGAAGAAAGGCAAAAGATAGTCCCTGCACTCAAGAAACCCGCAGCCTAATGATGCAATGCAAATAACCGTACATTCAGGTCACAGAAAGTGTAAATGTGCTCCCTCCTCCATTTAGTTCTAGCACCATGCCACTGCCCCACCTCCATGCTGAATTATTTCGCATTTATTTTAGATGGATTTTGACTTATCTGTGTACTTGCTATTTCTTCCAGGTAGAATGCAAGCTCTTTGAAGGCAGAAACTACTTACATTTTGCTTTTCTATTTGTAAAATCTAGAAAGTGCCTGACATATGTTCAATCGTGTCTGACTCCTTGTAACCCCATTTGGGGTTTTCTTGGCAAAAATACTGGAGTGGTTTGCTGTTTCCTTCTCTAGATAATTTTACAGGTGAGGAACCTGAGGCAAACAGAGTCAAGTGACTTGCCCAGGGTCACACAGCTAGTGTGTGGGTCTAGATATGAACTCAAGTCTTCTTGACTCCAGGCATAGTACTCTATCCACTGCACCACCTAGCTGCTGCTTGACATATAGTAAATATTTAATAAGTGTTTATTGAATCAATGAATCTGCTAAAGAAAGCTCAGAACAAGAGATGGAAGGAAGCTCAGAGCACAGAATGCCAGGCCTAGAAGGGGCCTCACAGGTTGTTTAATGTTACCTTTTAAAGGTGAAGACATCAGGGCCCAGAGATGTCTAAGGTCACACAGCCAATTGAGAAAGAGAAGATGGAGTTTCTGACCTTAATAAGCTTGCAGTTTCATTGGGAAGGCAAGACTCAAGACATATGAAGCTGAATAATGTGTGATACCAAATATTAAGTTCTGAGGTGACAATTCTAAATACCATCTGAGTCTCCATGAGAGGGGTGCTCAATGATATCCAAACAGGGCAGGCAGCCTGACCAGAGGAGGTGGACCTTGAAGGACGGGTACAATCAGTGTCACACAAAGGAAGTTAGATCTAATAATGCTCTAAGTTGGTGCTCTAATGATGCTGAATATAGTGAGGTAGAAAACCAGGTTAAATTCTGAGTATATGAAAAAGAATGAAGGATTTCACATAACCTCATTTCCATGCAACATTTTTGGGGACAATTTAAAATAGATACATTCGCTGATTTTAAGGCAGGAAAATCTACACACCTTAAACAACATGGTAGAATAGAATGAAGGTTGGCTTTAGGGTCAGAGGAACTCAGCTATCTGCCTACTATCCATTTAATCATGGGTCAATCATTTTATCTCTTTGTGCCTTGGTTTCTTCATCTGTAAAATGAGGGGAGAGTGGACTGGTTTATCTGTCAGGTCCTTTCCAGCTCTGAATTGATGGATGGACAGAGGGCATTTTGGTCAGAAAATAACAATTTTCTTCCCTCACTTTCCCTACTAGGAGCATGTGTGTTCTGTCTCTGAGGTGGGTGGAGGTGAGTGCTCCCCATCTCCATTCTGCTTTGGCTCCTGAGGGACAGGATTCTCTAGGATTTCCCCTTTCTCAAATGAATAAGAGAGATCATTGTTGGACTATCCCTGTGGTCTTGAACACTCCGCTTACAACCTTAACAACCTTTAATAGGCTTTGCCTGCTTTTCTTGATCCCATTAAGAATGAAAGGCCACTCTCTTTCTTCTCCCAGCCATCCATTTTTTGCAGAGGTCTTGAAGGATAAACTTCAGCTACAGTGAGCCAGGGTGGCTTAGCTGCCATCTGGCTTGGAGGATGCCGTGGGGGGAGGTGGTGGGGAGGGTGGTGAATTGCAAGATCACTCAAGCTTCCTTAATAAGGAAGACTCACATTTTTATAGCCCTTTAAAGTTTACAAAGCACTTTCCTCATAAGACCCCTATGAAACACAGAAGGGAGAAGGGAGAGGGAACAAGCATTAGTACCTACTATGTGCCCAGCACTGTGCTAAGTACTTTACAAATCTTATCACATTTGATCCTCACAACAGTCCTGGGGTGTAGGTGTTATTTTTATCCCCATTTTAAAGTTTAGGAAACTGAGGCAGACAGAGGTAAAGTGACTTGCCTAGGGTCATACAGCTAGTAAGTGTCTGAGGCTAGATTTGAACTCAGGTCTTTATGACTCCAGGTTCAGTTCTCTTATTTACTGCACCTCCTAGTTGCCTAGCTAGGACAGCAAAAATTATAATTCCCATTTAATAGATGAAAAAACACCTGAAGCATAGAGATATTAGATGACTTGCCTATAGGTGTCAGATCCAGAATGTCATTCATTCATTCAACAGTATTTATTAAGCACCTACTATGTGCAAAGCACTCTGCTAGGTACTAAGTAAACAAAGATATGTATGACATGGTCCTTGTTCCCAAGAAGCTTACAGTTGCATAGTAAGGACAGAAATAATAAATGACATTGGCTCTTTTAATTTTGCAAAGTGCTTTACATCCATTATCTCATTTCATCCTAATCATAACACTTTAAACTAAGTATTACAGGTATCATTCCCCTATTTTACTGATGAGGAAACTGAGGTTCTCAGAGCTCAAATTCTCAAGAGCTCATGGCTATGTAGCTAAAAAGCATCAGTGGCAGAATTTGAATTCAGGTCTTCTTGTCTCAAAGTCCTGTATCCTGTACCCACTATAGTGACCCCATACGGTGTTGTGACCCACAGTTTAAGAAGTGCTGAAGGAGGGCATGTAGGTGGTGCATTGGATAGAGCACTGGCGTTGGATTCAGGAGGACCTGAGTTCAAATCCTGCCTCAGACACATAATACTTACTAACTGGTGACCCTGGGCAAGTCACTTAACCCCATTGCCTAACCAAAAAACAACAACAACAAAAAACAAAAAACAGCAAAAAAAAAAAGAAGTGCTGAAGGGGTCGTGAGTGGAAAAAGTTTAAGAAGCCCCGCAGTATAATACACTGCCTCTGATCGGGAGGAAAGTTGTGAAACAAAGGAGAATGAGATGTGTGCAGTGACAAGGTCCACACAAAGGACTATAGGAGGGAGGGATCATCTTTACCTGGGACTCTCTGGGAAGGCTGCATGGAGGAATTAGGACCTTAGTTGGGTCTTGATGGAAGGAAGGCAGGCAGATCAACAGATGGAGATAACAAGGGAGAATCTGTTCTAGACATGAAAAATGGCAAAGATACAGATAGGAGAAGGCAGGTCAAGAATATGGGGATAGGGAGTCCTCCAGCTGAGTTGGCATGCTGAGTATATGAAGGGGCATTATATGAAATAGAACTGGAAAGGTAAGTTGGGCCTCAATTGTGGAAGACCTTAAATGCCAAAATCACGAATTTACACTATTTGATGGGCAATGAAAAGTCTATGTCTCCATAGTATAATGGAAAGATTTCAGGATCTGGAACCAGAGTGCCTAGGTTTGAATCCTGCCTCTATTATTTACTCCTTAGTTACATCTCTGGGGCCCTGTTTCCTCATCTAAAACATGAAGGTGTTGAACTCACTAGACAATTTCTCTTTTTTTAGCATTCTTTTTTATATAAAATTTTGAGTTCCAAATTTTCTCCCTCCTTCCCTTTCCTCCCCATAGAGACTGTAAACAATTTCATATGTTATATATGTGCAATCATATAAAATATATTTCCATGTAGAAGAAACAGAACAAAAGGAAAAAACCATGAAAAAAATAAAGTGAAAATAGTATGCTTCAATCTGAATTTACATGCCATTAGTTCTTTCTCTGGACGTGGATAGCATTTTCCGTCACAAGTATTTTGGATTTGTCTTGGATCTTGTATTACTGAGAATAGCTAAGTCATTTGTAATTGATCATAGTACAATATTGCTGTTACTGTCTACAATGTTCTCCTGGTTCTGCTCATTTCACTTTGCATCAGTTCATGTAAATCTTTGCAGGTTTTTCTGTCTGTTCATCATTTCTTATTGCACAATGGTATTCCATTGCATTCATATATCACAACTTGTTCAGCCATTCCCCAATTGATGGGCGTCCCCCCAATTTCCAGTTCTTTGCCATCACAAAAAGAGCTGCTATAAATATTTATGTACATGTACGTCCTTTTCCCTTTTTAATGATCTCTTTGGGATATAAACTAGTTGTAGTTTTGCTAGATCAAAGGCTATGCAGAGTTTGGTTGCCCTTTGGGCATTGAACTAGACTATTTCTATGGTCCTTTCAATTCTGGATCCTATATCTATTGTCTTATCCTAGTATTTGTCCTCATGACCTGTCTCTAGGTGACCCTAAGTCTCCAATTCCTCTAACCTCCTGGGAGTAAATGCAGCGGAGAATGTACTTAGATCCATGGGGTTTCCAAGATGGGTGAAGCTTGCATTTTTTTGAGCTTGGAGCAGAGGCCCCCAAGAGTCTGAGGAATGAAGATTTGCAGACCACAGCTAGTGTCCACATGGGGCTAGATCCCTGCCACAGTCACCATTGAGGTCCCTCTCATCCTTCAGGGTCATCAGGGAAGAGAGATGAGCTTCATTTTTGGCACTGACTCCAATAAGGGAACCAGCTAAGCTAGTGAAACTTCAGTGGTGGGCCAGTGAGGGTTCTTGGACAGGCTTGAAACATGCCAGGGACTGTGCCTCCTTGTTACTTACCTTCCCAAAGAAGCCATGTGAACTGGCCAGGTTGCACAGTTAGAAGGCCTAAGAAGCAGTACTTGAACTCAAGTCGCACTTGACTCCTTATCCAGCTTCCTTCCAACTTGACCTCTCTCATACTGCTTCTGCAGATGGGGGCCGAGCAGCTTAGTCTGAGTGAACAGTGTAGTAACATGGTAGCCAAGGAGCAAATGCTAATCTGGCTTCATGAAGAGAGTCACAGTGTCCAGAACAAGGAAGTTAACATGTCCAGTATCTAAAGAACTGCCCGGGTCTGACTCCACTGAAAGTAGTGTATCCAGTTCTGAGCACTCTGTCTTAGGAATCTTAGGACAAAGAGGGATGCAACCAGGATGATGAGTGTCCCGGTCCAATGCAATGGTTGTGGTACTTATCTGTATATGGGGGCTTGCAAAAGAATTCAATTTGTCTAAGCAGCTTAGGCCGCAAAGTGGATAGAGTGCTGGGCTTGGAGTTAGGAAGATCTGAGTGCAAATTTAGCCTCTGATACTCAACTTGCTGTGTGTGACTTCAGGCAAGTCACTTAACCTCTGTTTGCCTCAGTTTCCTTGAATGTAAAATGAGGATAATAATAGCACCTATATCTAAATGTTGTAAAGTTTAAGTGAGATAATATTTGTAAAAGTACTTGGCACATTTCTTGAGCGTGTAGTAGCTGCTGCAGAAATACTTATTCCCTTCCCTTCCATCTCATGGCTTTGCTTCTGGGAAATGGTCTTCAGGTAGGGCATCCCATGGTCTTTTCAGAGAACAGCCAAATGTAAATATCCTGTTCCAGGATGAACTTTTAATAATGGGAAAAAGCTGGCATTGAGCACTCATTAAGCTATGATGAAACTGTTCCTGAACTTGCCCCTTGCCCTGGCTTTTCCTGGCAGACTTATACATATACCTCCTCCCCCTCTCACATGCCCCCAGTGCAGGGGCAGCAGCTCTACATCAGGCTCCTAGGCTGTGAGCCAGACAACATGACCCTCTCTGATTTCTAGTCACTTGTGAATGATTTGTGAAGGCTGAGGCAGGGCTGTGGGCACCCAAGGCAGAAGGAACTCTCTTAATGAGCAGGGCAAGCAGCTGGTCATAACGTCTGCTAATGAGTTTGGTCAGTCATGCTCTCTCTTGGCAACACTGGCTTGGACCAGACTGGATCCTTGGTTAGTTGGAAAAGTCCTTTGGGGCTTATTTTACCTGCTACAGTGTAGAATGGTCCTGTGGAGTTTGTTTTCTATATAGTGTGTTCTAAGGCCCCTCCCAGCTCTGACATTCTGTGTTCTAAGGATGCTCCCAGCTCTGACATTCTGTGTTCTAAGGATACTCGCAGCCCTGACATGCTGGCAGTCCACTAGATTAGAACATGGAAGTGTCTCCAGTCAGCTACATTCTTGGAGCTCTACTTTCCACAAATGAATCTTCATCTGGAGCTGTCTTTGGACTCTCTTCAAGGCAGGATTTCTATACTTCTGTCATCTGCCAGGACAGGGGTTTTGGCTTCTACCTCTTATCGTCAATATGATCATCAAGCATTTCTTTCCCATAGCAAGTTCACCTCCTCGGTGTTTTTCTTTGGGGGATATCTCCCCTTCTTACTATTTAGAAATGTAAGACCATAGAGAATGTTAGAACTGAAAGTGACCACAGAACACAGAGTCTGGATTGTCAGTGCTGTAAGGTAACTTAGAAATGATCTAGCTAGCGGCAGCTAGGTGGCGTAGTGGATAAAGCACTGGCCCTGGATTCAGGAGGACCTGAGTTCAAATCTGGCCTCAGACACATAACACTTCTAGCTGTGTGACCCTGGGCAAGTCACTTAATCCCATTGCCTAACAAAAAAGAAAGAAAGAAAGAAAGAAAGAAAGAAATGATCTAGTTCAACCTCCTCTAAAGGGTAAGCTCCTTCTTCCTTGCCTCCTTTTCCCTTACCATGCAGTTGAGCTTCTGAACACACCCTCTGCCAGTGGGAAAGCTGGTAGCAGGTCTTGCTATCCTGATCACAATCCTTTAGCTCAGACAAAGTTCTCACTGCAGGCTTGGGAACATGCATGGAGAGGAAAGATTTAGGAGGGGTTGGTGTGGAGGGTGGGTGAGAGGCAGGAGGATATGGGGTTTGTTAGAGCTGGTTCAATCTCTGGATGCTTAGCTCAAGGGAAGATGGGTTCTTCTTAACATTTTCTCCTTTTTCAGGAAAGGGGCAACCTTGGGGGCATTGTGGAAAAAAAACCTAGTCCTTGTGTCAGTCTGGCAATCATCTTCCAGCTAAAAAATTAACCACCCGACGTGGCATTTTCCCTCCCCCCCTCCAGGTCTGCTTATTCTGCCCCTAAATCCCTAGACTTTAATCTCTCTGTAATTTTGTTTTTTAATCCCTGGAAAGGATTTATGGTTCAGAAAAATTGTAGACCTCCCTGGAAGAAATAGAGCATAATGGAGAGTCAGGAGACCTGTGGTCAAAGTCTGGGGACCTTGTGCAAATGACTTCCCTTCTCATGCCTCAGTTTTGCATTCTGCAAAATGGAGGGGTTAGGTCAGACGACTTTTAATTTTTGTTTTGTTTTGTTTTGTTTTTTGTCTTTTTTTTTAAATTTTGGCTAGGCAGTGGGTTTAAGTGACTTGCCCAGGGTCACACAGCTAGTAAGTCTAGGGTCGAATTTGAACTCAGGTTCTCCTGACTACAGGGCCAGCACTCTATCCACCGTGCCTCCTAAAGCGCATTTTTCTTCCTTTTTCTTCTTTTTGTTTTGTTTTTTGTTTTTTGCTAGGCAGTGGGGTTAAGTGACTTGCCCAGTGGAGACAACTTAAAAAAATTTATTTATTTGTTTTTAGTTTTCAGCAATCAGTTTTATAAGATTTTGAGTTCTAAAATTTCCCCCCTCCCTCCCCTTCCCCCTTTCCAAGGTGGCATGGAATCTGATATAGGCTATACATGTACACTCATATTAAACATATTTCCACATTAGTTATGTTATGATAGAAGAATCAGAACAAAAGGGAAAAACCATGAGAAAGAAAGAACAAAAAACAAACAAAAAAAGAGAAAATAGTATGCTTCGATCTGCATTCAGACTCTGTAGTTCTTTCCTGGATGTGGATAGCAATTTCCATCATGAGTCTTGGAATTGTCTTAGATCATTGCACAGCTGAGAAGAGCTGTCTATCAAAGTTGGTCATGGAACAATGTTGCTGTTACTGTATACAATGTTCTCAGCATCAGTTCATGCAAGTCTTTCCAGGTTTTTCTGAAATCCACCTGCTAGATGAGACGACTTCTCAAGTCCCTTGGAACTCTGACATTCTCCATTCTAACATTCCCCTCAGCTCTGGTGTTCTTCATTCTATGGTCCCTTCCAACTTGGACATTCTGGGTTCTAAGGTACATTTTGTGTCTACTGTTCCTTCTTCTTTGCTTTAAAGTCCCTTCCATCTCCAACATTCTAAGCTCTGTTTAAAAGCTCTTTCTAGTTCTGACAATCTCTGTTCTGTATTCCAAAATATCTTTCAACTCTGATTTTCCATAATTCTAAGTGAGAACACCTTTCTGTTTAAAAAAAAATCTTATTATGAATTTAGCAATCATCAGCAAACACAAATGTTTCAATGTAACAAAGAAGAAAAATTTTACTCTGTATGAAACCATGAACTTGTTACATAGTTTGTTTTTAAGTGTACGTTAAATTTCAGGGAATAACAAATTTACCCTTTGTGTCCCCTTCTGGAATTCTTTTTGCTTTCCTTTCCTCCCTCCCTCCTTTCCTCTCTCTCTTTCTTCCTTCCTTCCTTCTCTCTCCCTTCACATTTCTAACACTGCTCACTAATTCATTCCCCACCAATAGAAGCCCTCCCTTGTACCATATAAGTATAAAATAAATACAGCTAAGCAAAACCACATAGGCCATGTCAGTAAATGCAGGTTTTATTTGGCACCTCTAGTCTATCATCTCTTTGTTAAGATGTGGGAAGCTTGATTCTCTACCAATCAGAACAGCTTTCCAAACCTCAACAGAACAGGCCTAGAAAATGAGTTAATTATCTGGGCCACATCAAACTTTGCTTTCCTGAAAGCTAATATCTGGAAAGAAAATGGTAAAAAAACAAAACAAAAGCAAAAACCAATAAACAAAAAATAACCCCTCCTGATCTGAAGATCATTTTTAAAGTGACTAAGTGACCAGTAGAGTTAAAATGAAAAAAATGGAAGCCTTTATTCTCACCAGGGTTTAGACTGCCCCACAGGCTGCCACCTGGGCTTCTCAGCACTTAGAAGTCCACCTTTGGATTCTCTTCTAGAAGGTACTACCTGGGAGGGAGGCAGGGATTCGTAGCTCCAGTGATGAGCGCTTTGAGCTTTGGATAGGTGGTGGAGCTACTCAAGGTTCACCCAGTGAGTCAGCACAGAGCAAAGAGTGGGTAAGAAATTTAACAGAATAATTTTTAACAACCTTCACTTGTTCAGAAGAGATTTCTGCTTAGTGAAGAGACTGGATGATCCTGTCACTGAAAGCCCGTGCCAGCCTCTGCCCTGGAGGGGCCTGGGAAAGGCTGAGGGACAGGAGGAGCTGACCAGGGTACAGCTTTTGTTAATTCCAGATTAGTTGCCTTGGACAGCTTTCTGGCCTAAACCCTAAAATCCTCTGTGAGTCTGGATTCCCTTCTCTATGGGAAGCCCTGAGAGGGCTGGGAAGCTATGTGGGGGTCACTGTGGCCATACTCCAATTCCTAACCTGCTCATGTAGAAAAACTCTCTAGACTCACTCACTACAATAGCCTGAGTGTGAGTGAAAAGATTATCAGCACCAGCCACAGGGGACAGGGATGTTGTATTGTGGAAAGAGCCCTAGATTAGGAGTCAAGCAGCCTTGGTTCAAATTCTGACTGCTACTAACTGGTTGTATGCTCTTCAGCATGTCACTTCCTACCTATGGGCCTCACTTTCCTCCTCTTTAAAATTAAGGGGTCAACTTTCTCATTATTAGGGTAGTTAGAAGGAACAGATATAGACAGATGGCACAAGTGTGAGTTGAATATGAAGGGATGATGTCTTTTCTTTTTTGCTTTTTGGTGAGACGTTTGGGGTTAAGTGACTTGCGCAGGGTCACACAGCTAGTAAGCATCAAGTGTCTGAGGCTGGATTTGAGCTCAGGTCCTTGTGACTCCAAAGCCAAGCTCTATCTACTGTGCCATCTTGCTGCCCCAGGGATGATATCTAAGAAGTTAAATTAAGGGGTGAGAGAGGAATGTACTGAGAGAAAGAGAAAGGGAGAGGTAGAATAGGGTAAATTATCTCACATAGAAGAGGCAAGAAAAAGCTTTTGCAGTGGAGGGGAAGAGGGGAGAGGTGAGGGGGAGTGAGTGAACCTTACTCTCATCAGAATTGGCTCAAAGAGGGAATAACATACACACTCAATTGGGTATAGAAATCTAACTTATTTACCCTACAGGAAAGTAAGAGGAAAGGGGGATAAGAGAAGGGGGGATGATAGAAGGGAGGGCATATGGGGGAGGAGGTAGTCAAAAGCAAAACATTTTTGAGGAGGGACAGGGTAAAGGGGGAGAGAGAAAATAGAATAAACAGGGCTGAGGGAATAGAATGGAGGCAAGTACAGTTAGCAATAGTAACTGTGAAAAAAAATTTGAAGCAAGTTTCTCTGATAAAGGCCTCATTTCTCAAACATATAGAAAAGCCACTCCCCAATTGATGAATGATCAAAAGATATGATCAGTTTTCAGATGAAGTAATCAAAGCTATCTATAACTACATAAAAAATACTCTCACTATTGATTGGAGAAATGCACATTAAAACAATTCTGGGGGCAGCTAGGTGGTGCAGTGGATAGAGCTCCAGCCATGAAGTCAGGAGGACCTGAGTTCAAATCAGGCTGGACACTTGACACTTACTAGCTGTGTGACCCTGGGCAAGTCATTTAACCTTAATTTCCTCACCAAAAAAACAAAACAAAACAAAAAACCAACAACAACCAAACAAACAAAAACCCCCAAAAACACAATTCTGAGGTCTGATACTACCTAATACCTATTAGATTGGCCAATAGGACAGAAAAGAAAAATAACAAATGTTGGTGGGAACATGTGAAAAATGAGACATTAATGCATTGTTGGTGGAGTTGTGAATTGATTAACCCTTTCTGTAGAGCAATTCGGAACCATGCCCAAAAGACTATAAAACCATGCATACCCTTTGACCTAGCAATACCGCTACTAGGTCTGTATCGCAAAACAGCTAAAAAACAAAAAGGAAAAGGATCTTTATGTACAAAAATATTGATAGTAGCTCTTTTCTGGGAGTAAAGAATTAGAAGCTGAGAGGATGTCCATCAAATGGGGAATTGCTAAACAAGTTGTGGTATGTGATTATGATGGAATACTATTGTACTATAAGAAATGATGAGCAGGATGCTCTCAGAAAAACCTGGAAAGACTTAAGTGAACTGATGCAAAGTGAAATGTACTGTGTACAAAGTAACGGCAATATTGTAAGATGATCAGCTGTGAATAACTTAGCTATTCTCAACAATACAATGATCCAAGACAACTCTCAAGAACTTATGATGAAAAATGCTACCCATCCCCAGAAAAAGACTGTTGGTGTCCTGAATGCAGATTGAAGCATACTTTTTTAAACTTTTTTTTCTTGAGTTTTTTTTTCTTGTCTATGTTTTCTTTTACAACATGGCTATTGTGAATATGTTTTGTGTGACTACACACATATAACCTATGGGGGAGTAGGCTGAGGAGGGAGGAAGGAAGAGAACTTAGAACTCAAAGTTTTAGAAATGAATGCTAAGAATTGTTTTTATGTGTAACTGGGGAAAAATAAAATACTAAATAAAAGCTTAAAAAAAATTAAGGAGTTAAACTGGATGATTGATTTCTTTCTTTCTTTCTTTCTTTTTTTTGGCTAGGCAATGGGGTTAAGTGACTTGCCCAGGGTCACACAACCAGTAAGTGTTATGTGTCTGAGGCCAGATTTGAACTCAGGTCCTACTGAATCCAGGGCTGGTGCTCTATCCACTGTGCCACCTAGCTGCCCCTGGATGATTTCTAAGGTCCTTTCCAGATGTAACATTCTTTGTTCTAAAGGTCCCTCTCAACTAACTCTTTATATTTTATATTTTAAGGTCCCTCTTAATTATGACTTTTTATGTTCTAAAATATCTTCCTAAAGTTCTGAAGTCCCTTCCACTTTCAACATTCTGTGTTCTATAGTTGCTTCAGGTTCCAACCTTCCATGTTCTAAGATCCTTCATGTTCTAAGGTCCTTTATAACTCCAACATTCTATGTTCTAAGATTCTTCCCAACTCTATGTTCTAAAGTCCCTTCTAGCTCCAATATTCTCTGTTCTATGACTTTCAAATACCAGCATTCTGTGTCCCAAGATCCTTCCCAATTCTAAATGTCTGTTTTCAGTTCTGTGTTCAGAGGGACTTTCCCGATCTGACAAGAATTTTGTATGTTAAGGGAGTTTTCAGCTCTGAATAGTCCATGTTCTCTGATCCATAACACTCTTTTCATCTGTTCTCTTTCCCTAGGAAGGAAAATGTCTCTTTGTCATCCTGCTGATGGCACTCTACTGGTGTACAGAGGCTCTGCCCTTGTCGGTGACTGCTCTGCTCCCCATCATCCTCTTTCCCTTCATGGGCATCTTGCCCTCCAGCAAAGTCTGCACCCAGTATTTCCTGGACACTAACTTTCTCTTCCTCAGTGGGCTAATCATGGCCTCTGCTATTGAGGAATGGAACCTGCACCGGAGAATCGCCCTAAAGGTGCTGATGTTGGTTGGGGTCCAGCCAGCCAGGTAATAGGCCTTCCCTAGCTCATGGCCCTTCTAGGCAACACGGCTTGATGGAAAGAGCTCTAGACTGGGAGGACTGGCCTCTCATCCACGTTCTAGTACTGAATAGCTAGGTGCCCTTGGGCAAGCCCCTTAAGCTTTGTGGGCCTCAGTTATCACATCTGTAAAATGGGCATCACCAGCCCTGGGTGAGCCTATCTACATTACAGGTTTGTTGTGAGAAGCTAATATTCCAATACCCTATGAAACTTTAAAAAACAAACACATGAGTAACTTAAACTGGGGGTCACTTAATGTCAAAGCTGGAAGGTACTTAAAGCAGCAGTTCTCAAAGTGTGGTCTGGTGACCTGTGGAGGTCCCTGATTCACTTTCAGGGGGTCAACAAGGTCAAAACTATTTCCCCAAAATAATATGTTTAAATTGAAAATATAGTAAATATTGATAGCTATAACCCACATAAACAAAATCTCTTTTGGGGGGTTCTTAATAATTTTTAAGAGTATAAATGGTCCTGAGACCAGAAAGTTTGGTCTTTAGAAAAGACTGCTGCTTTAGAAAATATAATAATAATAATAATAAATATTCATATAGCATTTTTAAGGTTTACAAAGCATTTTACATATATCATCTTATTTGATTCATACATGAAAGTTATGAGTTAGGTGCTATCATTATCTTTATTTTAAAGATAAGAAAACTGAAGCTGAGCCAAATTAAGTGACTTGCCCAGGGTCACAAATACAGTACAGCTGGGTCCCAATTAGTATATAATGAATGCTGTGAAATGGTCACAGGTATTCAGTTCACACTATTTGAAGTTATAATTATGTGAAATACGGCTACTGGTTCTAGCTCAGTGGAACTATGCAGAGCAAATTTGATTACAGTGACTGCTTCAGGGGGTTGACTATTCATACTATTTGGGGACCCCACTGTTTCTGAGGCAGCATTTGAGCCCAGACCTTTCTGACTCCAAGTCCAATGCTCTATCCATACTACGTCATGTTGCTGTCAGAGCTACCAGCTGACCAGTATTTAAGTGCCTACTATGTTCCAGGCACTGTGCTAGGCACAGGGGATACAGAGAAAAATATATAGAGAAATAATCCTTTCTCTCAAAGAGCTTACGTTGTAATGAGGGAGACAGTAAGTACATGTATGTATGTATGCTTACTTATGGCATAAATAATATACAATATTATATATACTGCTATTATAATATGACATATATAATTATTATGTATATAATGTGACATAGTATACATTTATAGCCCAAATAGTATATATTTATAGTATATAATATTATACATATACAATTATTATAATTGTATGATTATTATGGTAGAATTATTATGATGATGCTATGTATAATAGTACAATATAGTATATAGCATAAAGAGTATATAAATAATAATAGTATATATATGTATATATTATATATAGCTTTTAGTATATGTTCATTTATAGCATAAAGTGAACAAACATAAATATATACAAGGTAGTCTGGGAAGGAGACCACCAGCAGTTGCGGGGATTAGGATTGGCTTCCTGCAGTTGGGAGTGCTTGATATTTCTATTATTAAAAAAAAGGGACCCTATGTACCAGAGGTAACAGGACCACAGAGATAATCCAACCCAACCCTCTTAGTTTACATAGAAGGAAAGTGACTTGCCCAAAATCATACAACTCAAATAATATCTCCTGAATCATAACATCTGCATGCAGAAACAGCCCAAAATAATATATTAACAATAGCTCACATTTATATAGAACTTTAAGGTTTACAAAGCACTTTATAAATATTATATCATTTTATCCTTGTAACAATTCTGAAAGGTAGGTGCTATCATTATCTTCATTTTACAGATGGGGAAACTGACACAGACAGAGACTAAGTGACTTGTGCAAGGTCACACAGCTAATAAGTAAGGCTGGATTTGAATTCACATCTTCTTGGGTCTGAGTCTAGGTCCAGAGTTCTATCCACGGTGCTACCTAGTTGCCTCTGATAATAATAAATATAAAAATAACATATTGATTCTAGAATATGAATGCTAGCCATATTATGATCTCCCCCAAAACCAATTCCTATCTAAGACAAAACTGTGGGCTAAATAGACTATGGCACTGACTCAGAGGACTTTTTTTTAGGCTCCTAGGACATTAGTGATATCATTAGAGTCTACTGTAGATATGAGTATTACAAAAGAAGCAAATCCCTTCCCCGCTCAGGCCTTAGTTTCACCATCTGTAAAAGAAAGGGGCTGGACTGGGTGATCTCTAAGGTTTTTTCCAACTCTGACATTTTATGATTCTAGTCTCTATTATCAATTCAACAGACATTTATTAAGACCTGTGCAGAGCACTTTTGTGATGGGAATAAAGAGATGAATTAGACATAGTCTGGATTCTAAATGACTTAACTAACAGTCAAGCAGAGAAAATAAGAGATGCTCTAATAAATATGATAAATGTGTGAGGAGTACACAGTGCCATGAAATCAGATGAGAGAGATCACTTCTAGCTGTGGGGATGAAGGAAGCCTTCATGAAAAATACTGCCTGATGTGTCAGTAAGCAGAGTGGTGAGGGAGGAGGAAACAGGAGGAAGCAATAAAACAATAACCTTTCTCTGAGCCTCCAGGGCCCATTCTTTGGTTTTCTGCCCACCAGACTCATCTTAGGAATGATGGTGACCACCTCCTTCTTGTCCATGTGGCTCAGCAACACAGCCTCCACTGCCATGATGCTCCCCATCGCCAATGCCATTCTGAAGAGTCTGTTTGGGGAGAAAGAAGCTGGGAGAGACCTTGGCTGGGAAAACGAAGAGAATATGGGTGAGATGGGCAGAAAAGAATGTGGGCTGGCCTGGCTAGATTGCTGTTAATTCAAGTTGACAAACATTTATTCAATGTTTGACATGTGAGGGTCGTGTGCTAGACCTTGGGATTCAAAGATAAGGAAGAACACAGTCCTTGCCCTCAAGAAGCATTCATTCTATCTGAGGTGGAGCAGGGCAGGGGTACGGGCCAAGGGGAAGAAACACAACAGGTTCACAGATAAGTATATACAAAGTGGGGTGTGATAGGGACAAGTGCTCTGGAAAATTTCTGGAGGTTGAGAACGTTTTTATCTGGAAGGGAATCAGGGAAGATTAAATAGAAGTGGTGTTAGCTGAGCTGAGCCTTAGGGATACTAGAACTACTACTACTTCTATTACTGCTGCTGCTATTACTTCTTCTTCTTCTTCTTCTTCTACTTCTTCTTCTTCTTCTTCTTCTTCTTCTTGTTCTATTACTACTATTACTACTACTACTACTACTACTACTACTACTACTACTACTACTACCACCTCCACCACCACCACCACCACCACCACTACCACTACTACTATTACTTCTACTACTCTACTACTACTACTACTACTACCACTCCACCACACCACCACCACCACCACTACCACTACTACTATTACTTCTACTACTACTACTACTACTACTACTACTACTACTTACTACTACCACCACTACCACTACTACCACCACCACCACTACTACTACCACTACTACTATTACTTCTACTTGTACTACTACTACTATTACTACACTACCACAACTACTGTTACTTCTGTTACTACTATTACTTCTACTACTACGACAGCTAACATTTATGTAGCACTTTTAAGCTTAAGATGAGACACGAGGGTATATCCTTCATGAATACATCATTGGAAGTCAACATGTAATTTGTTCCCAGTCCAATTTGGCTGGAATGGAGAATGGGTGAAGGGGAACAATGTGACAGAAGCCTGGAAAGGGAGCCAGGTTATGATGACCCTTGAATGAAATGTCAAGCTGAGGAGTCTGAAGAGCTATAATGAGGAATTCTGGTGCATGGAGGAAGGAGGAGTCTTCAGGGAGAGATCTTCTGTGTGGGGAGAGACCCTAATGAATCACCCTGTGATGGGGAGACAGAGATTCCCTTCCCCCTCCTAGATATCTAAAAGTCACTTTTAGGGGGGCTGGCATGGGAGAGGGGATGGAGTGGGTCTGATCCAGGCCAGAAAGGAAAGCCTTAGGATTCTGCCTTTATTGCTGAGTAGAGACAACATTCTTCTTACTTATGGATAGGGCGTAGAGTTTAGTACTCTTTTAGTACTCTCCAGTCAAATTCAGTGATACCAGAGAGGGACGGACCATACTTCCAGACCTCTCAACCACCTAGAAGAGGCAAAGGTAGTATAGAAAGACATATTGATAGGACCCTTGACTCTAGGATGCAAGAAGCTGCCCAGGGGGCTGTAGACCAGCAGCAGGATTGTCAGAGGGTGGTAGCTGGGCTTAGGTGAAGGAGCAGAAGTTATCCACCATGGATACAGAGGGCTGTGGCATGGGGCTAGCAAAGGATTACAAGGTATGAGAGGACCACTGCAGGATGGAAATGTGTTCCCTGAGGCAAAAGGCTGCCTTAGTTATGGATCACAGGGGCATAGATAGAGAGCTGGAAGGCCTTTGGAAGTCATCTTCCAGGCCCCTCATTTTACAGATGCAGAGAGCTGAGGTCCAGGAAGGTTAAATAAGAATTCACATTTTACCTTACATATAGTAGGAAGCTCTTGAATTTTTTGAACAAGAAAGTGACATGGTCAGACCTATGCCATAGTAAGGTTATTGGAGGAGAGCAATGAGAGGGAGGGTAATGCCCTCTCTCCTCCAAAAAGAAGGAAGAGAATGTTAATGAAACATTTATAATCCACAGAAGAAAGCAGATAGAAGTTAAAAAAGAGACATATAAGCAGGACAATATTGGAATAACTGTTGCACTTAACATATTATATTATTATATAAATTATGTATATTATATAATATATTATTATATAAAAATAATCTGTACAAAATTTATTTTCATGATTTCATAATGCAGTTCTTTTTCTCTATTATATATGAAGATAGTCATGCTTGTTAATGTTTGACAAATTCATAATAAAAAAAGAAAATTGAGGTCTTTTTTTTAAGAATTGTTTTGGCAACTGGTTGGAATACCGTTTGGAGAGAGGAAGCCCTAGATACTGAAAGACTATTTTTTTAAATAAGCTTTTACTGATGTCTTTTTTTGTACATCACTGTAGTTTCCCCCAGTATGTTTCTCTCTTCCTATGAGAGAACCATTCCATATAAGAAAGAGCATTTTTTAAGGCAGAAAAAAGGAAGAACAAATCATCAGCATAACTGATTAATACATTGAAAAAATCTGAAAACATGTGTAATGGGAAACATTTATGGATCTGCTACGTCTGTCAAAGGGTGGGGTGGGAACATCTCTAATCTGCTTTTCTTTTTGAGCATGCTTGTTCTGTATAATTTTTGTGATATTTACTTTTGATTTTTGTGAGTGGGAATGTGTATGATTCTTTCCATTTACATTCCTGTTGTCATTGTGTATTTTTTTTCTTGGTTCTGCTTACATCAATTCATGTAGTTCTTCCTATACTTCTCTGGATTAATCACATTTATCATTTCTTACAGCCCGATAGTATTGCATCCCATTCAGGTACCACAACGTGTTTAGTCATTCCTTAATTGATGGGCATCTACTTTGTTTCCAATTCTTTTGCTATTGTAAAAAGTGAGTAGGGAGACAATTAAGGGAACTCTTAAAACAGTCCAAGTAAATCTGAATGGGGGTGAGGGGCAGGGAGGTGGTGATTTGAGTGGAGAGGGAAGATGGATGGGAAAGGTGTGAAAGTAGAATCAATAAGACCTGGCAAGTGATTGGACATGAGGAATGAAAGAGAGGGAAAAGTCGAGAATCATGGTCAAGAATCAAGAGTCACGACATCCGACTTTCAAGCCTGAGTGCCTTCAAGGGTGGTGATTCCATCAGCAGCATAGAGAAGTTGAAGGGGGGACAAATTTAGGGGAACAAACTAACAAGCTCAGTGCTTCATGCATTGAGTTTGAGGTGCTGATGGGACATCTCCATGGAAATGTTCACTAGGTAGTTGGAAGTGTAGGATGGGCATTCCAGGAGAGGTTAGAGCTGGATCTATAGAGCTGGGAGTCACCTGTATAGAAGTGATCATTGAATCCATAAGAGATAGGTGACAGAGTGGAAAGAGAGATAAGGGGGCTAAGAATAGCAGCCTTGAGCATGCTTTAGGAGTACAGGGAATAAGGGGGAGAAGGCAAAACCAATGAGAGATTTAGAATGCCAGGTTAGAGAACCAGGAGAGTACATTTGGTGAGGCAAGCATCTCCAGGGGGAACAAGTGATTGGCAGTGTCAGATGTGGTAGAAAGATGGAAGGAGGATGTGGACTAAGAAAAAACCATCGGTGTTAACAATGAAGTTGTCATCAATTTAGTCACCAACAAGCATTATTAAGTGTTTGCTGTGTGCCAGGCACTGTGCTAAGCTAAGAGAAAGAAAGAATTCCTGCCTTCAAGGAGTTTACATTCTGATGGGGAAGTCAACACATCAAAAAGAGCTGAAAAGCTAGGCGGGGGAGGGCCAGGGAGAGGAGGTGCTCACTTGGGAACATGGTAAAGAAAGTTCAGATGTCAGAAGCAGAGCAGGGAGAAGAATGAAGACTTGGCTGGCCTGGTCATCCTCATCCTTAAAATGAAGGTTCTGGTAGAAACCAATACTCACTCAAGGGAAGAGGTTTCAGGGGACCTTGGAGAGAGTAGCTTCAGTAGAATTGTAAGGTAGGATACCAGACTTCAAGCAGTTTAAAAATGAATAGGTGGTAAGGAACTGGAGATGGTCAAGGCTCGTTATTCTTTCCAGGAGTTTAGCAGTAAAAGGGAAGAGAGATATAAGATGAAAATTTGAGGGGATAATAGAGTCAAGGGAATGTATTTTTTAAAAAAAGATGAGGGAGACCTGGAATAGTTTGTAGAGAGTGCATAAGGATCCACTAAATAGGGAGAGAATGAACATGAAAGAGATGGAGAATGATTAATGGGGCAAAGAGATAGGAAGGGATGGGATCGGGGTACAAAGGAGAAGGTCTAATCTGGGCAAGGAGAAGGGCCACTTTATCCTCTGAGACTGGAGCAAAGGAGAAGAGGAGAGGTGAAGATGTAAAAAAGTGTGGAGAAGTGGAGATGAGGGAGCTCAGAATGGATGGACTCAATCTCAGCAAAGTAGGATGTGAGAAATGTGGAGGAATGTGGGGAGTGGGTAGGAGGTGGGTGTCTGTGTACATTTGGTAACAAAGTCAACAGAGTACAAGAGATACTGTTTCAACAAGTGGTGGGATCATAGGGCAGTCTACGAATCTGGGTGTATTAGGTCAAAGATAGGGCCAGGAAGAGAAGATTCATAGCTAATCCTATTGCAAAGAGAGACTGACTTTTACCCCGTTTTCAGCCCAGGATGAGGCAAGTGTAGTGTAGTTGGAAAAGAACTGGTTTAGGAGTCGGGAGAAACCTAGCTTAAAATCCTTGCTCTAACACTTAGCTGTGTGACCATTGGCAAATCGATTATAACTTCCCCCAGCCTCAGTCTCCTCATCTATAAAATGGAGATAATGATATTCAAACTACGTACCTTTCAAGGTTGTCATGAGGAAAATATTTTGTGAGCTGCAAAATACTATGGAAATATGAGCCATAGTTCTTTTTAGGGAGCAGGTGGAGAATGCTAATGGTGTGAAATGAGTAGGCTTTATAGGGTCATAGATTCAGAGCTGGAAGGGAACTTATGAGGCCACAGAGCACTGTCTCCTCATTTTCCAGATGAGAAAATTGAGGCACAGAGAGCTTAAGTGATTTGTCCAGGTCCCACAGACAACAAGTTTCTAAGGCAAGATTTGAACCCTGGTCTTCCTAACACTAAGTTCTATGCCTTGTACACTAAGCTATATTGACTGTTGATTGGCTAGATCCAGAACTATGGCAAAAGGTAAAGAATGAACCTCAGTGGGCATTCTTAAACCAATAGGTGGTACAGTGCAGGAGTGAGGAACCTCTCAGAGCATAAAACTAGGAATCAGAAAGACCTGAGTTCAAATTCTGCCTCAGACACTTACTAGCTGTGTGATCCTAGGCAAGTCATTTAACCTCTGTTTGCCTCAGCTTCCTCATCTATAAAATAGAGATTATAATAGCACCTACCTCAAAGGGTTATTATAAGAGAGCAAATGAGTTAACATAGGTAAAACGCTTTGTGAACCTTAAAGTGCTTTATGCATTCTAACTACTATTGCTCTTAAAGGTCAGTTGCTCAGAGTTGGCTCAGCAGCAGTTTATTTAAAAAAGATCTGAGAGTGGAAACTGATCAAGAAACTTCAGATAAGTCAACAGCAGGACAAAGCTTCTAGAAAAAGTTAATGTAACCGTGGGCCACGTGGGCTATCTGGTGTTCACATAAAGGGATGGCTTCACCTTATTGGGCTCTGCGCAGACCTGCCTGTGTCTGTGTAGCTTTATAACTAGTTTGGGGTGCCACATTTGGCCACAGAGTTACGAGCTGAAGTGTGTGCAGAAAAAACCGGCATCATGAAGGGTCAAGAAATCATATATGTTACATGGGGAACTAGGTTATTGAACCTAGAAAGAGAAGACCTAAGGAAGCCATTATCACAGTCTTCATGGAATCAGGATTTAAAGCTAGACGAGATGTTAGATATCAACTGATCCAAGAGTTCTTCACCTTGTTTGTGTCATGGACCCCTTTGACTATGTGGTTAAGCCTATGGACCCTTTCTCAGAATAAGGTCTGTTAAGCATGGTGAAAATCATTTTCCACTCATCCAAGTTCAGGGACCCCCTACTGGACAGATCTTGTTAGAATTCTTCCTTTGATTGGGACTGAAATCTGCTTTCTGGTAAACTCTCTCTCCCTCCCAACTTTCCTCCAAATTAGCAGCCATATGCAAGCAGCATTTTGCATGCAGGGAGAGACTTTGTCCACCTTGCCTTTTTCCTCGTGGTCCCCTCCAAGCCTGGGGGCAAAGGGGAGAAGCAGGGATGCGAGGCTGAGTAAATCGTTAAGAGATGGCAACACCTTTGCTCCAGCTCAACTTGTTAACAACAAAGGGTCCTATTGCAGAACCAGGAGCCTCCAGCTTCTGGCTGTCAGAAAAGTACCCTAGGTGCTTCCATGCTCAGTAGAGTGTGACAAAGACTCAGTGAGCCTCCATCACAGCCACTTCCAGTCCTAGTGACTCATTAATGCAACCTCCCCGCCAAAGCCCATGGTTTCCATGGGCACTTTGCCACAATACCTTTTACATAGCTGGCCCCTGCTAATTGCTTGTTGAATTGAATGGAAAGCCAGTCTTCTGAGGAGAATCACAACAGATTACATTTTTATAGTGAAATATATACATACACATTTATGCATACATATGTGTCTGTCTATATGAGTGTATATATCTTTACAAAATTTACAAAGTACTTTTCAAATAACAACCCTTTGAGGTAGTGCAAGTGTTATCCCCATTTTAAAGATGGGAAATGGAGGGAAACAGGAAATCAGAGAGATGAAATGCTTTTTCCCAGGTCATAAAACTAGGAAGTGTCACATTAGGAATTGAAAGCAGATTTCCTCACTCCAAGTCTAGTGGAGAAATCTCTCTACTACATCAAGTTTTCTTCTCAAATAAGAGAGGGCTCCCTGGTGAGTAGACTTCAGTCTCCAGTTGATATCACCATACTCCTCTCTCTGAGGCTTATGGGGATTCTTAGACATAAAAAGAGCATGACTCATGGAGTACCCACCGATTCCTTGGCCTTCACCTTGTCCCTATCAGAAATTTTTACTCTAATCACCAGTCCCCTTTCCTCTACATATCAGTGATCACAAGACTTCAGGGAATTAAACTTCCTTTCTTAGTCCAAATATACATGGAAGGTGCTTAATAAATTACTGAATTAAATAGAGGCTGCATTCCTAAAATGACAGGCAGCCATTTGGAAAGAACTCTGAACTGAAGTCAGAAGACCTGGCTACTAGTGTTAGCATTGAAACTTCCTAGCTGTATGACTATGGGTACAGTCACTTCTAAACCTCTTAGAGCCTCAATTTCCTTATCTGTAAATTGGGGACAATTATACTAGCACTATCAACCTCACAATGCCATCATGTGGGAAATGTTTTATAAACTTGAAGAGGCTAGAGAACTATGAGCTATTTTCATTATTACATATATAATGGGATTATTAGACTAGTAGATCAGGGGAATGCTGAAAACATAACATACTTAAATTTCAGCAATTCACTCGACAGAATTTCAAACTACACTTATAGAGAAGATAGAGAGATAGGTGCCCGATGATAGTATAATAACCAGGTGAATTGGAATCTGGTTGAATGACTGGACCCAAAGCCTAGCTGCTTTCAAGTGGGATGAAAATCTCCAGTGGAGTGTCCCAGGAATCTATCCTTGATCTTGTGCTGTGTAAGATTTTTCATGACATGCTTATCAAATTTGTGGATGAAACAGAGATAATTAGCATATTAGATGACATAAGATCCAAAGAGATCTTGACTGGCTAGAATGGTGGGATAAATTAAATAAGGTGAAATTATTAGCAGCGAAGTGAAAGTCTAAATTTGAATTCCTAAAAATCAACCTCACAAAAGCTGTTAGCTTTTGCAGTGGCCTTGTCACATCAGTAACTCCTACTAAACTTGTGGTCCACTAAACATCCCCAGATCTTTCTTACAGAAACAACAATAGTTTCATTAGAGGTTTTGGTGGATTGTGAGCTTAACATAAGTCAATATTATGATGTGGTAACCAAAAACTAAGGCTTAGGAGAAATCCATAGCATCCAAAACAAGGGCAGTAATTGTTCTGCCCTACTCTATCTTGGTCATTCTCTTGGTCACTCTGTCATCTGTCATTCTCTGCTCCATTCTGGGCACCCCATTTTAGATGTAGTCAACCAGGGGAATGTGCTGTATGAGGATTTCTTAGAAGAGCCAGGGATTCTTAGCCTAAAGAAGACTTAGGGAGATAGGATAACTGTCTTCAAGTATTTGAAGGATTGTCTTGTAAGAGAAGAATTAAACTAAGGGAAGAGAGAACTAAGAGCAGTGTATGTGATTTAGTGTGAGACAGATTTTTTAATTAATATAAGAAAGAACTTTTTTTTTTTTACCAATTAGGCCCATTCCAAGAATGGAATGGGCTGGCTGGCTAGATAATAATCTACCCATCAATGGAAGAATTCTAGTAGAAAGTAGAAGACTTGCTATAATGGGGATTCCTAACCTAAGTAAGAGGTTGGACTATATGTCCCGTGATCTTCCTTCCATCTCTGAGATTCTATAATTCCCTGACTCAGAGGCAAGCAAAAAGGCTAATAGGTAGAGACGTGGACTGTTACATGGAGGGGCCTGGAGCCTCAGCTGATCTTGCTCCCCCTGCTACCAGGTCAGGCTGCTTGGCTGACCGGAACAGGAAGAAGGGCAGAGTTCCTTCTGCCCTGTTAGAGCTGAGGGGGTGACTTTAGCCACATGAGGTGTGCTATTAACTCATTCTCTCGTGTACCAGAGACCTCAGGACTGTTCTCTCCCCTTGCCACGTAGACAGATCTCTTTGGAATTTAACTCACCTCATCTTGCCCTCTTTCCTTCCCTTCTTTTCCCCCTCCCTTCCTGTTCCTGAGGACTAGCTGAACCACTTAGCACCTCACACCCTAGAGAATGAGGTCAAAGAAATTTTTCCCTATCAGGCTGTCATACTCAGTGGTTATAATAATAATAATAATAACAACATTTATGTGCTTTAAATTTTACAAAGGGCTTTTCCCACAACAACCCTGTGGGTAGGTAGATAACTTTCTAGTTGATTTTCAGAAGAAATGGAGCAGGGGATGAAGGGTGTGATTGGATGCTTTCAGGTTTGACAGGCTATGTTCATATCTTCATGTAAAATAGGTGGCAGCCCAGTCGTCATCATCTCCGGCACACTAGAAGTGCCCGTGTGCCTCTTGCTGATGCCAGGAATTCCTTTACAGGACATAGATTAGACTAAAACCGAAAATCCCTCTGCGAGATGGAAGTAGAGATTGAAATTCCTCCAGACTAAAATTCAAATGACTGACTCCAGCTCCTCTTTTGAGAGTGGGCTTTGGTCATCACGAATGGAGATCATTCTGGGATTCTGGGTTTGAACCAGTATTACAGTCTCATTGTTTCCAAAAGAACATGGGGTTAATGTCTGGTAATTCCCTTGTTAATCCCCTATTCCTTCTAAGTCTAGGATTTTTCTGGACAACCTTCTGAAGGAAAAGATTGCCTATGACTTTGGTTCCCTGTTTATATGTAGGGCACTTTAGGTAGTTTTGCAGGTAACTACTGGCCTGGGATCAGTTCTAACTCTAAGCAGGCAGGTAAGGTAGAAGAGTGAATGCTTCTATCTGATTTTGCACAGGACCAGCCTGAATCCTTGGTGGGAGGGCAAGTTGTCCTAACTCTGATAGGACAGTTCAGTGTCTCTTGATTAAACTGCCTTCAGTGACTGAAAGATAACCTGCTCTTTATTTTCCAGCTGCTGTCCAGAGAAATGGCCTGCGCACCATCCCCAATGAAATGCAGTTTCTGGCCAGCACAGAGGAGTGAGTCCTTGACTAAACTTGCATGAGGGTCAGGGGTGGCTCTTTTGCACAAGAAATAGTCCTCTAATGGGATGTGATTTGATAGGTACAACAAAGACTCTTCTTTTGCCCCTGAGATCTTCCCCTCTCCCACCAGCCAGACATGGTATCTAAAATTCCACCATAGAATGATGGGATGTCAGAGCTGGAAGGACCTTAGAACATAGAATGTCAGAGATGGATGGGATGTTAGAGCATAAAATATCTGGGCTGGAAGAGACCTTAGCACATAGAATATCAGAGTTGGAAGGGATCTTAGCACATAGAATGTGAGAGCTGGAAGGAAACTTAAAGATTGTCTAGCCAAACTCCTTCACTTTACAGATGGATTCATTGTGGCCTAGAAAGGAGAAATGATTTGTCTAAGAGTATGCAGTGAGTTCATAGCCAAATAGGCCCTAAAGTTAACACAACTTTCCCAGCCCAGGCTGGACAAATTCCCAGGAGATGGTTCAATTCAGCAATAATTTCTAGAGCTTCTGCTTTGCACAAGGCCCTGTGCTAGGTTGCATAGGTAGGAAGATCAATAAAATCCCAAATGAGCCCCAAGTTGTCCACAATTGAGTGAGGGAAAGTGAACCCTTAAATTACTGTAATTCAAGACAATGTTAATTCAAGAAGTATAAGTGCCTAGAAGATGTGTCCCCAAAGTTCTGTGAAAATTCCAAAGTAGAAGGGATCACTTCCATTTGGGGGGAATTAGAGAAAACTCAAGGGGGGGAGGGATTCAGATTGGGCCTTGAAGGATGTATGAGATTTCAATAGGCAGGCCAAGCCAGTGGCAGGAGGGTAGGGCATAGAGACAATAAAGGGAGCAAAGGGCATTCCAGGCCATGGATGACGGAGAGGGTGAGGGGTTCAGAGACCACGGACTAGTTGTAGCGTGAAGATGTGTAGAAGAAATCAGGGGAAGATGAGGCTGGAAAGGTCCAGATTGTGCAGGACCTTGAAAGTTAGGCTTCAGTGTTTCAACTTAATCCATTAGAATGAAAGCACTTTGAGAGGAAAGATATTTTTATTCCTTGTATTTTTTATCCCCAACACCTACAGTGCTTGGCATGTAGTAGATGCTTAATACATATTTATGGACAGTTACTTGAGAGGAAATTTGGAGTTATGGAAGGTATCTGAGCAGAGGGATGACACAATCAGAGCGGGGTGTTAGGAAGATTAGCTTACTGACTGTGTGCTGGATAGTGGGGGCCGAGACCGGAGGCACTGAGATGAGACCCTTTGGGAGGTGATTACAATAGCCTGGGGCTGAGCTGGGGTGGGGGTGTAAGTGGTAAGGAGGGGACAAGCACTGGAAATGGTGTGGAGACTAGGCTGCTAGACAGAGTTTACAGTTTCAAAGACGCTGCTGCCCTCTCTACTCCTCTAAAAGTGGGAAAGAGTACAGGTTCTCTCTAGGGTCTAGGCTCTGATCCCAGTGAAGCCTGAGGGAAGTGCCCCGTAGAATGCAAACCAGCTCCAGGCCTGTGCTGCTTCAAGCCTGAGCCTCCCCTTTCAGGACTGGTTTTGAACCTTTCTTCTTTCCTCCCCCTCTCCTGCCCTCCCTCTCTCCTTCCTTCCTTCCTTCCTTCTTTCTTCCTTCCTTCCTCCCTCCTTCCTTCCTTCCCTCCTTCCCTCTCTCCCTTCCTTCTTTCCTTCCTTGCCTCCCTCCCTTCCTTCTCAAGGCTTGGAAAGACTTTTCAGGATTCTGATTGTTGCACAAATTTAGATAGCTTTGTGGGTTTCTAAAGAGGTAAAGATAGTTCTGAGCACCCCAGCAGGGCTCTGAACAGCTTCTTGTTTGGCAATGTTTAAAGCAAAGGCCTACCAGAGGATGTGGAGGCCCCGCCGGAGATTGCCACTGCCACAAAGAAGGAGGAGGAGTACCGAAGAAACATCTGGAAGGGCTTTCTCATCTCCATCCCCTATGCAGCCAGCATTGGAGGCACAGCTACCCTCACTGGCACCGCCCCCAACCTCATCCTGCAGGGCCAGCTGAAGAGGTACAGGGTAGGGAAACGTGCCTAGTTCTGGAATTTCTTGTTTTTCTCCCCTTCCAGGACACACTGAGCTTTGGAGAACCTTTATAATAATATTCCAATGCAAAGTGTCAAGTAGAGTTGTCCAGGAATATTCTTGACCCTCTCCCTATTATTTTCTACTGAGAATTATGGGACCAGGGGATGGAAGGAGGTAGTTGAATTCTGTCTATAAAATTTATCCTGGGGGCAGCTAGGTGGTGCAGTGGATAGAGCTCCAGCCTTGGAGTCAGGAGGAACTGAGTTCAAATCCGGCCTTAGACACATAACACTTACTAGCTGTGTGACCCTGGGCAAGTCACTTAATCCCATTGCCTAACACGGCCCCACCCCCCAAAAAATCTATCCTGCTCAGCCCCAGAGAGAACTATGGACATATCAGGATGGGTGGTAAGAGCGAAGGGAGTGGGCACCTGGGGACAGATTTTGGCTCAGTAGGAAGGAGAACTTCATAATTAGAGCTATCCCAAAATAGAATGAGCTGCTTCAATGAGCAGTGAGCTCCCTATTGGTGGAGGTTTTCAAGCAAAGGCTGGTGATCGCTTTCTGGGTATGTTGTGAAGAGGATTCCTGTTTGCGTTCACGTTGGACTAGATGCCCTCTGAGGCCCTTTTCAGCTCTGAGTTTCTATGATCCTAAGACTTATGTGACTAGACTAGCTGATTGCCCTTTCTCTCCCACTCTGAGCCTCAGTGTCCTCATCTGTAGAATGGGGCTAATAATCCATGCTCTGCCTACCTCATAGGATTGCACGAGGACCAAGTCACAGGATCCTAGAATTTCAGAGCTCAAAGGGACCTCAAAGAACTCTAGTCCAAACTCCACCTGAATAGGAATTCTTTGTACAAAGTCTCCAACAAGTGGTCATCTGGTCAAAAGGAATTCATTGCCTCCCAGGGCATAGTTTCACTTAGGGGAGTGCTTGTTGCTAAGGAGTTTTCCCTGATGTGAAGAAATGAGGTCACGGATATAGATGAAACATCTAAACTGTAGGGTGCTGTACAAGCATTAACAGAATCATGGGATTCAGAGCTGGAATGGAGGTCAGAGTGCTTCTAGACTAACCCCACTCCCATTCTACAGAGAGGGAAACTGAGACCCTTAAAAACAAAATGACTCCCCTAAAATCAAATAAATATTGTCTGAACTGGGATTTGAACCCAGGTCATATTTGGGAGAAATTTTAGTGGTAATCTCCTTCTCATTTTGCAGATAAGGAAAATGAAGCCCAGAATGAGGAAGATAGTTAATGGATACATTTTTGTCATTATTTACAGGCAAGAGTTTGAGGTCCCTTTCAATTATGCAGGGTTCCCAACCTTTTCGGTTCCCATCCCCTTTGACTTTCAGTAAATCTTCCCATACCCTTTATTCAGTATGAAAGGAAATAAATTCTAGCATTTGCCATGCATGTACACATAAGACATAAAATAAGAGATTAATTGATTTCAATAGGATAATACAGTTATTGATCAAATATTTCTTCTACCCCTTGGCAAGCTTTTTTAAAAAAAATTTATTTATTTTTTGGAGACAATGGGGTTAGGTGACTTGCTCAGGGTCACATAGCGAGTAAGTGCCCGAGGTCTCCTTGGCAAGCTTCTTATACCCCATGGGAGTTTGTGTACTCAGGCTGGCAATCCTCACAGTACTGTAGGGAATAATACAATAATTAAAATATATTATATTAGAATATTGTTATTAAGAATATATAATAGAATATGAGAGTATAATTAAATAGTATATAATAATAGCTAGCATTTATATAGCATCTACTAAGCTCTTTACAAATATTGTCTCATTTGATGCCACAACAGTCCTGGGAGGTAGGTGCTATTATCATCCCCATTTCACAGTTGAGGAAAATGAGGCAGGCAGAGATTAAGTGACTTACCCAGGGTCACATAGCTAGAAAGTGTCTGAGGCCATATTTGGACTCAGGTCTTCCTGACTCCAGGCCCTGGGCTCTATACACTTCACCACCAAGGACAGATGAAGACCCCACCACATAAAATGGACTATCTAGGCCTTCTAGAACAGGATCAGATTTCTGCCAGGAAGAGAGCAGGATGTTGGAGGCTGGGGTAGGGCATCTTTTTCCCCGATGGCCTCGGGGAACCCCCGGTGTCCCTGCTCTGTCCTCCCTTATGCCCCTGGAGTTGGCTTCCTTGACCTCACAGAGCTCTTCCCTCTCTCTCCCCTCCTGTTCCCTCTCTCTGTCCCTCAAGCTTTTTCCCACAGTGTGACGTGGTGAACTTTGGATCCTGGTTTGTATTTGCCTTCCCCCTCATGCTGCTTTTCCTGCTCGTCGGCTGGCTCTGGATCTCCTTCTTGTACGGCGGCATCAATCTAAGGTATTCATTCCTGGCCGAGGGGCTTTCTTCATTAAATGCTATATGGAACAGTGCGAAGAGCACTAGCTCTGGAGACAGAGGCCTCAGGTTCTAATCTGACCTGTGCTGCTGAGTGATGTTGGGCAAGTCCCTCATTCTCTGTGGGGAGGCCCCAGTTTCTTCATCTTTAAAGGAAGAGGGTTGCACTAGAAGACCTTTGAGCTCCTATCTAGCCCTCAAGTGATGCTCCTTTGATCCTGAATTCAAATCCTTCCTCAGACATTTATGTACACACTTACATTACAGATTTGTGTAACAGTGGGCAAGTCACATGATTTCTGTGAGCCTCAGTTTCCTCATCTCTAAAATGGGTAAAATAATAGCACCTACCTCTCAGGGTTGTTTTGAGGACTCAAATGAGGTAACACGTAAAGTGCTTCGCAAAACTTGAAGCACTATATGAATGCTATTATTCTACCATCAGACACCCTCTATAACAGATTGGGAGGCAGGAGGGTATATGGTTGAAATAACACAAGCCCAAGTGTCATAAGGCCTGGGTTCAAGCCCTGATTCTGCTCTTTCCTCACTATGCATTCCTGGGCAAGTCATTTCTCTCTCTAATCCTCAGGTCCCTGTATGTTAAATGAGGCTACCTATATATTACTTATCTCACTGGGTTGATGAGACAAAAAGAATTTTGTAAATAAGCAACACCAGAAAATACCTGTTATGGGCAGTATGGCATAACAGAAGGAGCCTTGGACTAGACATCAGGAGACCAGAATTCCCATCTCGTTTCTGCCCCTAACTTGCTGTGTGACCCTGGGCAAGTTATGTTACCCTTGATGACAATTTCTTCATGTGTAAAATGAGGTGGTTGAATTTAATGATCTAAAAAGCATCATCAAACTCCATTTATGTTCTAAGGTTCTGTCTAGCTCTGACGTTTTGTGGTTTTAAAATAATTATTAATGTTCTATTATTTTTTTTACATTGTTATCACTTCCTGGTTCTGACATTCTGTGTTCTAAGGTCACTATTCTGTAACACCTCATGGGCTCAATAGATACCAGATGTTCAAGCCAAGGAGATGCTTTTGCTTATGAGAGGCACCCACTGTTCGAGATAAGAAAGTGTGAGATGCCTTCTCCAGTCATGAAAGACCACACCATGCCAAAGTCTAAAGGTGTCTATATACTTTTCTTCAACAGGGTCTTTGCCTTTAGTCAAACTAATACATAATAGGAGAAATTCAGCTACTGTGTAGAAGGCCAGGGAGGGAGAAATTTTGGGATTACAGAGAGGGAGTGCTTTCTGTGACCTGTTGGCCTTTGTACTGTACTTCTTGCTTTCCCTACACATGTGGCCAGCTTTGCTAGACTCCTGACTTCATCTCGCTTTGTTTTAACAGGGGCTGGAGGACAAAAAAGTCACAAATCCGAGCAGACGCTGAAGCTCGAGCCCGAGCTGTGATAAGGGAAGATTACCAAAATCTGGGCCCAGTCAAGTAAGGGTCTAGGTGGGCTGTGGCATGGGGGAAGGGGGAGATGACAAGAGATGAAAAAAGGGGGAGTACATTCTTAGGAAGGCAATACCAGCCTTGCTCTAGGCTTAGCATAATGTCTGACACATAGTATGCCCTTAATAAATGTTTATTGATTTCAGGCCTGGTTTTACCTTTGCTGGAATATGTCCCAGAGGCTCAGGGTGGGTAGAATTACTGCAGGCTTCCTTATGTTCCCCCTTTCCTTTGACCGTATCTGAAGATACACTCCCTTCTCAGACTGTGGACTCCTCTTATGGTGTCCAAATTGGGCTAACTTGGGTAGGATTCTACATCTTGTGCTTAAGGGAATAGGCAGAGACTCTCAGCATGCCAGGCCAGGTGACTAGAAGGTGGGCATTCTAATGATTGGGGAGGGCCCTCTGTGATGTCATTAAGACCTCATATCCATTTTAGTTCAGATATTCTATGTTATAAAAGGTCCCTTCTAACTTGCTCTTCAGCTCTCTTCCCTGGCCCCATCCCTAGGCACCAGCCACCAGCAAAATGTCCCATCCTCCTCTGGGGCTGCCTCCAGTACACCAGCAGATGTTTACCAGGTCCCCTATCATTTTTCTCATAACTACCCCTATTGTCCTGTGCGTGCGCACGTGTGTACACGAACACACACACATCAGAAGCCCTCTGCGAACCAACAGAGAAGGAGCACTAGATTAAAGTCAGAAGAGGGGTCCTAGTCCTGACTCCCCCACAAGTTCTGTAATGATAGACAAGTGACTTCACCTCTCTGGGTCTTATTTTTCCCATCTGTAAAATGGGGATAATGAGACCCTCACTCCCTACCTCACTGGGATTACAAACATTTTGTGATCTATAAAGTATCCTGGAAACTAGAAGCTGTTACTATCATTAGGCAAGATGAGTTCCTTCCTGGGGCTGGACAATGTGATTTGGGCAGAACAAGTGGGTGTGTTTTAAGAAATACTGGGGTGATGAGAAAAGAAAACTAGAGGGATTGGACGCATCACAATCCCCAGATTATTCCTATTAGATGCTCCAGAGGCCATGGGAGAAGGAAGCTTCCAGCCCCTACCCGAGCTGGGCCTAGGTTGGGAGTCTGACAGGGCCAGGGGTACTTTTCATCGCCATCTTTTGTGTGATCCGCAGGTTTGCAGAACAAGCGGTCTTCTTCCTCTTCTGTTTGTTTGCCATTCTGCTTTTCTCCAGGGACCCAAAGTTCATCCCTGGCTGGGCCAGCCTGTTTCCCCCTGGGTGAGATGCATGCATTGATGCCTCTTGGGACAGGACTTGGGCTGATTCTGGGGCCTGGGCTGAGGCTATCAGGGAAATGGGGACCTTGCTTTTGGAGCTTCTAGGCTGTGAAAGGGTCTGTCCGTTCAAGGGGAGGTCACTCAAAGGATATCCTGGCATCATGGAGAGAGGCCTAGACTAGAAGTCAGAACATGAAGTTTCTAGTCATTAACTTACTTGTTGCCTTGGGCAAATGACTTCCCTCTCTGTTCCTCAGTGGGGCCAAGTGTACTAAACGATGTTGAAGTCCCCTTCCCTGGATGTGGAGTCAGGAAAACCCCAGTTCAAAACTAGTCGCAAACACTCACTGGTTGTGTGACCTGAGTAAATCACTTAACCTTTGTCTGCCTCAGTTTCCTCAACTGCAAAAAAAAAATACTAAATGATGTTGAAGTTCCCTTCCCTGGATCTGGAGTCAGGAAAACCCCAATTCAAAACTAGTCTCAAACACTCACTGGTTGTGTGACCTGAGTAAATCACTTAACCTTTGTCTGCCTGAGTTTCCTCAACTGCAAAAAAAAAAAAATAACAGCACCTAGGGTCAAATGAGATAATATTTAGTAAAGTCTATTGCAAACCTTAAAGCACTATATAAAGGCCAGCTGTTATTGTTACTGGAGCAGCAAGGTGGCACATTATTATTGGAGTGCCAGGCCTGGCATCAGGAAAGACTCATCTTCCCAAGTTCAAATCTGGGCTCAGATACTTACTAGCTGTTTAACTGTGAGCAAGTCACTTAACCTTATTTGTCTCAGTTTCCTCATTTAACTGACAAACCACTCCAGAATTTTGGCCAAGAAAACAACAAATGGGGTCACAAAGAGTTAGATATGACTCAAAACAACTTAACAATATCACCATTATTATTATTTCTCTACTTACATGGTATGCTCTATATCCTAAGGCTTTTTCTAGCTCTCACTTTCTATGCTCTGTGTTCTAACAGCACTTCCAACTCTCACATGCTAAGCCCCATCCATAACACTCTCTGATTCTATAGTGCCACAAGGCTTGAGGCTGTAAGGTTGCTATAGAATCCTTAGAGACTAAGAAGCACACTGACTGGGCACTAAGAAGAATGCTCTCATTCCCAAGTGGGAGAGATTGGCCTAGTGAAGTCCATCTGAAGGTTTAGAATGCCGTCATCTCTTCTGGGAAATTCAGACATGTTCAACCCAAACCCTTCTCTGAACTGGGCTCCTGCATATTTGACTCTCTGACCCTGACTGTAATAAGGAGGGCAGACCTATCAATCAGGCCCAGGGAAGGCTCTACCTTGCCAACTACCTTTGGTTTTCTACCTGGGAAATAGAAAAAAAGTTGGGGTAAAGGTTATCCCTCATTTTCTCCGTGCTTGTTTTGGGCCCCAAGTGTTGGGGCATGCACTTTGGCAACTGTTGCCTGTATCAGCCTATCGTTCTCTCTTAGGAATCTTTATACGAAGGTGGACCTTGATCAGAACCTAAAAACCATAGTATAGTGTAATTCAAGGGACCTAGAAAGACATCCCTGGACAAAATATCGCTGGCCACTTCTAGCTTATCTTGGGACCCAAAATTCCCAAATGTCAGTCACATGGTGGGAGCTGTATTAGTGTAAGGGGAAAAATTGAGTGAGGAGGACCTGGATTTGAGGCCTGGGTCTGACACTAGCTATGTGACCCTGTATAAATCCTCTCTATGAGCTTTCTGTCAGTTTCCTTATCTGGAAAATGGGGATAATATTTTTATACTACCTACCTGTAAAACTTAAACCACTTTATAAATGTGAGTTGTGATTGTTATTTTTATTGTAGTTGTAATCAAATTGAGTTGTAATGATATCACCAAGATGTTATCTAGAGAGCATAGCACATTAGGTCCTTAAGAGTACTAATTTTCAAATCAGCAGAGAGGTTTATCCCTCTGTTCCCCTGCAGAGAGATGGTCTAGAGGAGGAACATAGAAGAGGCTCTGACCTTTTTCAGGCTTCTTTGTCAAAGGCTGACCCGGCATGTCATTGTTTTGGTGGAGGGGGTGGATTTGGCTTAGATTATTATAATTCTTTGTTAACAGCTTTCATGAGAGAGGATGTTAGGATTCATCTAGTCCAATTCCCTCATTTTACAGATGAAGAAACCGAGGTCCAGAGAGTTATTTGACTTCATTGGAGATTTTGAGCTGGGAGGGATCTCAGAGACCAGCTAGTTCAGGGATGGGGAATCTGAAGTCTGGAGGCCATGTGAGGCCTTCTAGGTCCTTGGGTATGGCCCTTTGACTGAGTCCAAGTTTTGCAGAACAAATCCTTTTGTTAAGGGGATTTGCTCTGTGAAATTTGGATTCAGTCAAAGTGCCGCACTTGAGGACCCTCTTAGAGGGCCACATGTGGCCTTAAGGCTCAGGTTCCCTACCGATGATTTAGTCCAAACCCTTCATTTTACAAATGAGGCAACTGAGGCCCAGAGAGGTTATCTGACTCACCCAAAGTCACACAGCTGGTAAGTAGCAGATTTGAACCCAGGCCTTATGACTCTAAATTCAGTGCTTTTTCCCCAGTGCCATGATATCTCTCAAGTGAAGGATCAAAATTCATCTTCTGATCTGATTTCTCTTACTTCATATTCCCCATCCAAGAAACTTATAGAAATATTTGCATGATAGCCCAATGTAGACTGAGACCTATCCCAACTCTGCATTGCCATTTGAAAGAGTACAGTTCAGAATATTACAGGATAAAATTGCGTTAAAATAAGGAGGAAAACGAGACCCCTGAAGGAGCAACCATTAATCTCAAAGATACGCAAACCTCCAGAATCGATTACAATCCTGAATAGAAGGAGCCTTCTGGGAGATGCAATGTTTAGGGGAGGGGAGAAGTGTGCTCCTCACTGCCTCTCCTTCCCCTTCTTGCCAGGTCTTAGTATAGTACTTTTCATATCTAATAACTTAAGTGCTTTTTCATTCCATTCGTTGTGTGTCTCTCTCCTTTCTCCCCCCCTTCCCCTCCCTCCTTCCCTTCCCTCTCCTCTCTTCTCTCTCTCTCTCTCTCTCTCTCTCTCTCTCTCTCTCTCTCTCTCTCTCTCTCTCTCTCTCTCTCTCCCCGTCTGTTGGTGTGTTCTCCCTCCCCTTCACTCCTTCTCCCCTCCTCCCCCACCTCCTTTCTCCAGTTTCTCACTCAAAATGAAAATTATTCTCTAAATTTCTCCATTCTCTTGCTGATCTCTACTCAGAGGCACAAGAGACAAGATTTTAACTTGAAAGACCTTTGGGCATTATTCCATCTAATGTCTTCACTTAACAGATGAAGAAACTGAAGTCCAGAGGTTACATGATTTAACCAAGGTCACATAGCTACTCATATAGCCAGGATTTAAGCTCAGGTCCCAGACTCCAAACCTAGTGCTTTCTCCCCCACTTCCCCTTCACGTCCCCGCCCCTCCCCGCCACCCTCCCTTACCCACCACACACACGCGCGCGCACACACACACACACACACACACACACACACACACACACACACACACACACACACACTCATACAGTGCCTTTCCTAGATGTCAAAGAAAGGTGATGACGCCTCCAGAGGCTTCCTACATAGCCCACCCCCACTCTCCAGCCTTTCCTGTCCTTTTCTGGTCCCCACAAGTTGGTTACTCTCCCCTTCACTGCCCTGTATGTCTTCTAGCAGACACCATTTCTTCTCCTGGGGTGAGGTGGGGAACTTCAAATGGGAGGAGGAGGGGAAAGGGGCAAGGTCCCCAGCCTGGGGATGTTATATTTAAATCCCTGGCCTGGGGGCTGTTTCAGAGGAGGTGGGTAGTCAGTTCCCAGCCTTTCTGGGGGGTTTCTGAGGCCAGCAGGCTGTGTGCTGCAGCAGCGGGAGGCATGTATCCCAGATTGCAGCCGAGAGCCAGTTCTGACAATGGCCCCTGTGCCCAGTGAATGGTCAGGAATGCCCAGCTCTCCTTTCACAAGTCCTCATTTGCATGAACCTTTGCAGAATCCCTCCATGCCCAGGCTTCCCCATGGTCCTCATGCCTTCTTTTTTCTTTCTTTCTTTTTTTTTTTGTAGATTTCTTTCTGATGCTGTCACAGGCATCTCTATCATCACGGTGTTGTTCTTCTTCCCATCCCAGAAGCCTGCTCTCAAATGGTGGTTTGACTTGAAAGGTGAGCCATTCAAAACTTCGGGCCTCAATGGGGGTTGACTGACAGTTACATTTACAACAATTTCCATTCATCCACAACCCTCTGCTCCCCCCTTTAAGGCTTATGTGAAGCGTTTTCCTCACAGCAGCCCTGAGACTGGAGGTCAAGCATTATTATACTCATTTTAAAGATGAGGAAACTGAGGCTCAGAGTAATTGAGTCGATTGGCCCATGATCACATAGATTGGCAGTTTCTGAGTCGGTGCTTAAATCTAGGTCTTTTAAGTTTGAGTTCTTCAGAGGCCCGGGGCTCTTTCCATGTGCTAGACGACTTCCCCTGGCCAGTCACAGATCTAGAGTGTGGAGGGACATTAGAGGCCATCTATTTCAACTACTTCATTTTACAGATGAGGAAACTGAGGCCCAAGGCAAGGGGAAGAAACTCGCCAAGTGTTACAAAGCAGAGTGGGGATTTAAACCCAGATTCTTAAGACTCCAAAATGCAGTGTTCTTTCTGCCACACCAGCGTAGCCTCTCTAGGAGCTCAGATCGCCTCTACAGATAAAACGCCTGTAGGGATATCCAAACTGATCATACCACTTGTACCGTCCTAGCAGGGGTGTAGTGAGGGGGGCAGGTTCGATCACAAGAAACCTTAGAACAGAGCATGGGCTGAATGGAACTTGAAGGCGGAGAAAGTCAGAGCTGTAAGAGACCTTCAGGCCATGCATAAAAGTACTCATCCCCATCTGTCACAGCAAGACCAGAGAGAGTGACTGAGCTGGTACTGCTGGGCAAATGGAAAGGCCAAAGGGCTATGTGGTAGGACAGGACATGCTGGTCAGCTCAGGTCAGGTCAGGTCAAATCAAGAACCCAGGAAGCTGGACAAAGGTTTAGGAGAAAGCAGGAAGTTAACAAATCCAGGGTCCAAGAGGGCAGATACTCAGAAACAGGGGAGCCTGCCAAAGTGGGTGAGACCGAGATTCCTCCCAGATCCAGCCTGGGGAACCCATGCCTATCCCCTCCTTACTTCTAGGGTCTGAGACTTGCTCAGGATTACGTAGCCAGTTAGCTATGCCATTCAAATGCACAAATGGTGATGTTTCAGGACCATATCTCCTACTTGTAGGATGTGGTCAGTTTTGGTATTTTGAAGGTCACAAGTAGAAAGAACTCAGGACTTGCATCTGGGGGACTTGGATTTGAGTGTCACCTTTAGTGCTTCCTAACTGGGACTGTGAGCAAGTCGCCTCCCTCTCTGAGTCTCAGCTTCCTCATGTGTGAAATGGGGCTAATAATCCATCAATTATTTGCCTCATAGGGTTGTGGGGAAATGAACATTGTACTATTATCAGAGAATCTTCAAGTTGGAAATGACTCCAGAGGTTTCTAGTCTAATCTATACTTGACAAGAGTCCCTTCTACCATATTCCAAGGGGTCAACCAGACTCCAGTGACAGGGATCCCACCACCTCCCAAGACAGCCCCAAATTCAACTTTAGGACAGCCAGTCAGTCAACCATGTAGTAAGCTCCAATTATGTGCCAAGAACCTTGCTAAGCACAGGGGATATGAAGAAAGGAAAAAAAAACTGTCCCTGACCTCAAGGGGTTCACATTAGAATGCAAACATGTAAATAACATGTAAATATTTAAATGATATGTAAAACATGTAAGTAAGTAGGCCCCAATAAAATTTATCCAGAGTAGATTGGGGGTGATTTTGAAGCGGGAAAGCACCAGCAGCAGAGGGGCCCAGGAAAGCCTCCTGTGTAGATGATCTGAGTCTTGAAAGAACCAGGGAAGCTAAGAGACAAGGTGGGGAGGGTGCACCTGCCAGGCATGAGGAATGACCAGGGAGATGAAGAATCATATGCAAGGGACAGCAAGCAGGCTAGTGTCACTGGAGGGGGTATGTGGAGGGCAGTAGAGGGTGACAACCGTCATTATTGGAAACTTTTCTATCCATTGAGTCTATATCTGCCTCCCTACCACATCCACCCCTTACTCCTTCTCTCTCTGAGTCAAAAAGAATAAATCAAATCCTTCCACATGACAGCCCTTTAAATATTGTTGTTAGCTAAGGCTATTTAAGCTTGGTAGAGAGTGGTCCCATCACTTTAGAAAAGAGTTCTCCTAACATCCTGACCTATTCATGGAAGCCAGCGTCGTTGGCTTGGTCTCTGACCCTGCCTGAGCACTGGGTTCTACCAAGCAAAACTGCGTCCTCATGTTATGATTTCCGGGGGGGGGGATGTTTCTCTGCCCAGCTCCCAACACGGAGATGGAGCCCCTGCTGACTTGGAAGAAGGCCCAAGAGACGGTGCCTTGGAACGTCATCCTCCTGCTGGGTGGGGGCTTTGCAATGGCTAAAGGATGTGAGGTAATGTCCTCCTCCCAGTGTTTGAGAGACCCCTAAGCCGTCCCTCAAGCTGGGGCCTGACCTCAGGACACAACAAGGAGAGGCAGCTCTCTTTTGTTTGGTACTGGCTGCAGGAAGTTCTAGGGGCAGGGATAAGGGGAAAATCATTGATACTGGCTGTGGATTCCCCGCTGCTTCCCTAAGGTGCATTGTTAAACCAGGAGTCCTCAGCTGATTTTCAGAAGTTTCTTGGCTAAATCCTCAGTACCGGGGGTGGGGGTGGGGTTCCGGCTTCTGAGGAGGGAAGGGGTGATTTAAAAAGAACCTGGACTTGAGCATCAGGAGTCCTTGAGTCTGGGACTTGGTGCTGCCACCTGAAATCCGTGTAACCTTGGCTGACTGATTTCCTCTTTCATGATCTGCTTCCTCATTGAAAAATGGGAGACTGGACAGCATCACCTCCAAAGTTCCTTCCCGCCAGACATTCTGCATTCTATGTTCTAAGATCTCTTCCAGTTCTAATATTCTATGTTCTAAGATCCTTTCTAGTTCTGACATTCTGTGACTAGAAGTCTGCAGTAACCAGCCATGCTCAAGAAAGGGTAGAGTCAAAAGCCCTGAGTTCAAGTCATTTACTAGCTAGAAGGCTCTGGAAATCATTTAATTTCTCTAGGGTATAGTTTCTTCTTCTGGAAGATGGGGTTAATTACACCTGCCTGGCCTCTGTCCCAGAGTCATTGTTAGGCCCAAATGACATAATGGATGTGAAAGGCTTTTGTCAATTGTAAAGCCCTCTGTGTATGGTTATAGATCACTTTTCTTTGGCACTTTACAGTTTATACAGCACCCTCCTCACAACAGTTTTGCAAATTGTCTCTATTTTGTAGATGAAGAAACTTAGACTCAGAGGGAAGAGGTAACTTACCTATGGTCACCAAGGAATGAATGAGCATTTTTAGGTGCTTACTCTCTGCCATGGTATATGAACTCAAAAGTGAGACAGTCCCTGTCCTCAAGGAGCTTACATTTTAGCAACATACATATAAAGGGATGGTGGTCAGAAAAGGCTGTTTTGCTTGGGGGAGTCACAGAGATGGTGAGTTGATTGGCAAGCCCCTTCTAGAAACAGGATCGTGGTTTTGATTATTGTTCCCAGAGCAAGAAGATGATCGGGATGAAGTATATTGTGTGTGTGTGTGTGGGGGGGGGGTTGGCCAGATAGAGTGAGCTTTCACCAATCAGGACATCATGGCCCTAGGGCCAGAGTCCCAAAGTGCATTGGAGAGGTGGAACACAAAAGAAGGAGACAGGCCTGGATGTGATTGTTATCATCATTATCCTCTGCCTCACCAAAAGACCTAGCAGAACTATCATTCAGAGCCCCAGAACCTTTGTTCTCAGGAACGCCACACGTGGTTTCCAGCCATAATCCGTTTATTCTCTATGTGTGCAAATTGAGACCTAGTGAGAGGTGGTGGTGGTGGTGACCTGGCTCATCCCCAGGGGTGCACTGGGAAAGAAACCCTCCCATCACAGGGTCCAGCTCCAGGGAAGATCTTTGGACTGATTCCCTCTCCTCCCTTCCCCCCGCCATCCCACAAGGCATCGAAAGCCTTGGTCATTAACATTCTACTTTGGAACTTCTACTATTCGGTTAATTGGATACCATGTCGGTCCCTTCTGGGCCAGAGCCAGAGGCTGACAGAGGGAGAGCAGAGGCCACATTCCTCATCCACCTCTCCCTGGAATCTGGAGGAGGGTGTAGGGTGCTGGAGAGAAGGCTTGTTCTCTATCCATTCACTGACTATTTCTTCACTAACTCACCATCAGGCAGTGAGTGAGTCATGGGAAGAGCCCTGAGCTCTGAGCCACAGGAGGTGATGGGCTCACAGGATTTTAGAGAAATCTGAAAGATTCTACAGAGTCACAGAACCACTGAATAATAGTGGTAATAATTAGAGGGAACCTAGTCAAATCCTGTCATTTTACAAATAAGGAAACTGAGCCCCAGAGAAATCAAGTGGCTTGTGAAAAGTCACGAAGGAACAAGGGAGATGCTATTTGTAAAGAACTTAGCACAGTGCCTGGCACATAGTAAGCATTTAATAAAGGCTTGGTCTTCCTCCCTCTTCCCCCACCCCCATCCCTACCACCAAAGAAATTAATGATTGAGCTGGGATGTGAAACTGTGTCTTCTGATTCTAAGCCTAGGTCTCTAACCCCCTTCAATGAGGAAATTGAAGCCCAGAGATAGAAATGGATATTCTCAAAGTCATACTGCTAGCTAGCAGCAAAGCCAAGACTAAAACCAAGATTTCCCATGCTCTTCTTACCAGTCTATGTTGTCATTCAATCCTCTTATCCTAGGCCCTGTGGGAAGCCATAGGGAGTCAATACATTAAAGGGCAAGTAGGTCTTAGCCTTAGTAACACATGGAAAAGTAAGGATTCAAAACCAGGTCTACCAGTTCCAGATAATTTTTCTTAGGTGCTGGTTATGGCAGTCACAATCTATGTGACCTTGGGCAGATAATTCTCAACCCTAAGCCTTCAGTTTCTTTATCTGTCAAATAAGGATAATGCTATCTGCCAAAACAACTTGGAGGAGGGATACCTATATGTGAAAAATGTAAAGCACTCTACAAATAATAGATAGGGATAAGGACTAGATACGTCATTTCATTGATATAGGGAAATCCAAGATGAGGAAACTCCTTTCACCAATGCAGGTGAGCACCTTCTTTGCTACTTAGAGACTTAGTGATTTGCTCAGAGTGTTGGGAGATTGTGACTTTGCCAGGGTCACACAGTCACGATGTGTCAAAGATAGGCCTTTGAACCCGTCTTCCTAGTAACAAAGCTGGCTCTCTACACTATACAAATACAAAGAATTATCGTGTCAATCAATAACCAAATCAGTCCATATAAGAGGTGTTCAATTCTTTAGCACTTTGGTAAATTATTCCCTTTGCTAATGAGGAAACAGCCATATTGCTAGTGTAGAACCAGCCAAGTGCTTCTCCAGACCCAGTTGGTAGGAATGTTGGTGGAGGGGTGAGTGCTTAAGGTCCTCTCTTCCCTTCCATGGCAGGAGTCAGGGCTGTCAGCATGGATAGGTGGGCGGCTGCATCCCTTGGAGAATGTGCCACCAGCCATTGCAGTCCTGCTTATCTCTGTGGTGATCGCCTTCTTCACTGAGTTTGCCAGCAACACAGCCACCATCATCATCTTCCTCCCAGTTCTTGCTGAACTGGTAAGTGCCCCAAGAGGAGGTCTAAGAAGTTGTCGTCCTCTGCCCCAGCCCATGCATCTGGTACAAGTCAATGGGGGTGGGAGGCTCTCTCCTCAAGGAAGGCTGGCTTATTCTGCTGGAAAAGAGATTGGGAGAAACTAAGGCCACCCTTGTCTACAGGCAGATCCCAGGAGTTTGTTTATAATGGTCTGGTGTTTTTGGTTTTGGTTTTGTTTTGTTTTATTTTGTTTTTTAGGCAGTTGGGGTTAAGTGACTTGCCCAGGGTCACACAGCTAGGAAGTGTCAAGTGTTTGGTCTGAGGCCAGATTTGAACTTGGGTACTCCTGACTTCAGGGCCGGTGCTCTATCTACTGCGCCACCTAGCTGCCCCATATAATGGTCTGGTTTTAAGAAGCACCAGTAAGTCCCTTCCAACCAAAAATGTTTTTCCTACTCTTGATAGGCAGCTAGGTGGCACAGTGAGTAGATTGCCAGGGCTGGAGTCAGGAAGACTCATCTTCCTGAGTTCAAATCCAGCCTCAGACACTTCCTAGCTGGGCAAGTCACTTAACCCTGTTTGCCTCAGTTTCCTCATCTGTAAAATGAGCTGGAGAAGGAGATGGCAAATCACTGCAGTATTTTTGCCAAGAAAACCCCAAATGGAATTAGAAAGAGAGTTGGACGTGAGTGAAAAGTCAGATCCAATCCTTTAGGTTGAGCACTGGGTCCTCTTTAAAAAAAAATTAGTAATATCTTTTGTTTTTATTATTTCACTTTCATTTCTGCATTTACCTCTCCTCTCCTCTACACAATAAGTTAGTCTTTGAAAAGAAAAATTTTAAAGAGGAAAAGAAATAGTTCAAAACTAACCAGCAGATCAACAGTCTGACAGGATATACAGTTTTCCCGATACATAGTCCTCCTCTACAAAGAAGAGTGTGAGGAGCATTTTCCACCCTTTTTAGGGTCAAGCTTGAACACTGTAATTATTAAATTAAATTATTAAACACTGTAAATAAAAATATTATTTAAAAATCATACTTGTATAATAAATACAAAATATTATATGATAGAATATCTTATATAACATTAAATATTATATAATTATTTAAGTATGTGGTTATATTCTATAAGTATATAACATATAATATATTAGTATATATAATGATAAATATATAGTTATTAAATATAAATATTAATTTATTGAAATATTTAAAATTCTTTTTAAGCATGTTCACAACTACTAAGTACCAGAATTAGAGTTCAGATCCAGGCCCTTTGACTCTAAATCCATTATTCTCACCATACTATGGTCAGAAGGGAGGCAGAGAAGAGAGGAGGGGGTGGTGGTTACTTGTGCTGTTAGTCATGGGTTGTTTTTTGTTTTGGGGTATTTTTTTCCTCTCATAACTTTGCTCCAGCTTGTTCTAATGTTAGGATCGAGGTAAAACACAACTCACTGGAGGTCAGAGAGACTAATAGCAGAGAATAACAGGAGAGAGCAGAAATTGCTTGGAATTTGGATTTGGTAGCCCTGAATTCTTAGAATTAGAATACCAGCCCCATTCACTGCTAACCAGCTTGGGCAAGTCGCTCCCCATCTCTAAGTTTTATTTCTCCCTCTGTAAAATGAGGGTGTGAGTTTTCAAAAGGAGAAACACAAATTGTTCAGAGTTACTCTCCAAAATGCTTAGCTTCACTAATAATCGATAGGATACAAATTATGGGTTGTGTATTATCCCATGCAGCAAATCAGTCCCTCAGAAGCAACAAAGCTAACTGCTGTTCGAGTGAAGGAGAAGAAAATACACTCCTACTTTGCTGGTAGAATTGCAAACTTGAAGAATCTTTCAAGAGATTAATCTAGCAGTACATAGTAAAAGTTACAGAAATAATCATTCCATTCTTGGGATTATAACCAGAATGTGTTATCAAAAACAATTAAAAAAAAGCCATCTATTCAAAGATTTTTTTTTAGTAGCATTGTGCATAATTGTAAAAACAAAAACAAAAAAGCAACTATAAACAATCTAAATGTCTAAAAATAGAGGAATAGTCAAAGAAATTATGGCACATTGGTGAAATAGGATACTATAACACAATTCAGACCAATAAGTATGAGGAATGCAAAAAATTTAGAAAACCTTTATGAAATAATACAAACTTCTAAAAAGCAGAACCAGCAAATGGAATTCACATTATCAACAACTAAACAAGAGGAAAGGGCACTAAGAATGAATGAACATTATGTGAAGAAATGGACTATGAAATATTATTTAGTAAAAAAAAAAATAAAAAGGAGGAAGGAGATTAAAATGCCCATATTTTTTTGACCCAGAGATTCCACTATTAGGCATATAGCCCAAGGAGGTTAAATGACAAAAAGGTCCCATAATCACTAGAATATTTATAGCAAAAAAGAACTGGAAACTAAGTGGAGACTCATCAAGTGAGGAATGAATGAGCCAGTTGTGGTGGACTGATATAATGGAATATTAGTATGCTATAAGAAATAATGAACAGGATAATGTCAGAGTATGGGAAAACTTAAATGAACTGATGCAAAATAAAGGGAGCAGAATCAGGAAAACAATATGCACAATCACTACAACAATGTAAATGGGAACAATAAGAAGAAAACCACAAAACTGTATGCTGTGAGATTACAATGAGCAGGCTTGGCACCAGAGAAGAGATATGAGAAGACATTGCCCATCTTTTCTTTGAAGACATGGAGGACTATATAGGGTGAGGAACACTACAGATAATGTCAGACTTTCTGGGGTGTGCTGGCTAATTTTGAGCTTTTAAAAAAAATCTTTTTCATTTTTTGCCATAAGGGATGATTCTTCTTCTGGAGGAGGAGAGGAATACACTGGAAATGTTGCTGATATAGAAACAGAAGACATTGGACTGGGGCAGGCTGCAGATGGTGGATAGATGGAGTTCAGGAGTTCTGAGTTGCACTGGCTAAAGTCAGTTAGGCATCCTCACTAAGTCTCACACTAAATACGGTGAGCCCTCGGGAGCAGAGTTCTATCAGGCTGCCCAACGAGGGGCAGAGCAGCCTTGGCTGGAAAGATAGATCTGATCAAAGACTCCGTGCCAATCAGCCATGGGTTCAAGCCTGTGAGTGACTGCTAGTATATCTAGCTGGGGTGAAATAGGGAGACCCAGTCTCCAAAAAAATCCAAAAAACCCCAACTTTTTTTTAAAAAGAATGAATCAACAACAACAACAACAACAACAACAACAACAAGGATCCTAATAGAGACTTGGAAATGGTTGAAAAGTGATAACATTGTATATGTTGAAATGCAGTTACTAAACAAGTTTAATTGATTGTATTGATGCTTAATGTTAAGATTTTAAAAAAACATTTAATTTTTTTTAAAAAAAATAGAATAATCAAATGAGGAGGTTGCACTGGATGATATGGGAGACCTCTTCCAGCTCTGACCTTCTGTCCAATGTGTGTTTTCTCCCTCCCTCTCTCTCTCTGCCCTCGTCAGGCCATCCGTCTTCGAGTCCATCCCCTGTATCTGATGATCCCAGGCACCGTCGGCTGCTCCTATGCTTTTATGCTCCCAGTGTCAACACCACCCAACTCCATCGCCTTTGCTTCTGGACATCTGCTGGTCAAAGACATGGTAACTTCCTAAGAGACGACTGTGAGCTTCAGCAAGGAGGGAGGGGCGGGCTGCTTAGGGGAGGCTGTGAAGTCAATGCCACTTCTGTGATCTCCAGGAGCCCAGAAAACTAACCTGCAGCTTAGTGAGCCTATGGAAGTGAGTCAGAAGGAAACCAGGCCTGAGAGTCAGAACACCCGGGTTCAAATTCTGACTCTGACACTCAGTATTACCTGTAGAACCTTGGGCAAGCCCCTTCCTCTTTCTGGGACTCAGTTTCCCCATCTGTAAAATGAAGAGTTTATACTAGATCAGCGTTCTTAACCTGGGGTTCATAGACTAAAGGGCAAGTGAATAGATTTCAAGGGATCTGTGAATTTGAACCTTTTAATATTTTCATCACTGCATTTCCACATAATTGGTTTTCTTTGTATCTTGTATAACTAATTTTCTGCCTTTAAGAATGTTCTTCTGAGAAGGGGACTATAGGTTTCACCAATACACCCAAGGAGTCCATGCCACAAAAAAAGCTTGAGACCTCCTGGTCTTGTATAACTGGACAGTTTTCAAATTGCTCTGACATTCTATGTCTTAAAGTCCCTCTTCCCTCTGACAGTCTATGACTCTAGGACATCTCTGCCTTCTTAAACAGAGCAAACAATATTATTTAAGACTAGATGTACTGGAATCTTTGGTGTGGTGTAATGAAAAGAGCACTGGGTATGGCATCAGGGAATCTGAGCTCAAATCCAATCTTTGCTACTTACTACCTAGACAAGAAGCCTAACTTCTCTGGGTCTCAGTTTGCTGATCTGTAAAATGGAGTTGGACTAGATAATGCCCCCAAGTCTTTTCTTGTTCTAAATCTATCATTCTCCTCTCTTCCTCCCAGTCACTTAACTTCTGTCTGCCTCAGTTTTCTCATCTATATAACGGGGATAAGCACCTACCACCTAGGGTTGTATGGATGAAGTGAGATAATATTTGCAAAGTGCTCTAAAAACCTTAGAACTCTATCAAAATGCGAGCTATTATTGTTGGTGGACACTTCCGGGCCATAGGTTTGTTTCAATATTCCCCTAAGTCTAAGAAGGTTGAAGATGGCAGATTGTCTTTGAAGCCTTCATCATATATAATATAAAGCCAAATATAAATGGTTTATTCTTAGCTGTGGCCCTATGCCCCTACCCTCTGTGCAAGAAAATGCTAAATGATTATATAGCAGGTCATCAAATGATGGACAGGAAAGAAAGTGTGCCTTAGTTTTCTTAGCTATAAAAGGGTGGGGGGCTGGACTATAGGGTCTTTAAGGGCCCTTCCAGAGACACAGATGATGAAAGGAAGAAAAGAGAGAAAGAGAAGAAACCTCTGTTTAAACATCGCATACCTCTGTTGGTTCTGTTTCCAGGCTTGACTGCCTGAAGAGTGGTAGCTTATTTAAGTGCTAATTAGTGTCAGGCCAGGGCCAGGAGCCTGGGGAACACTCATTAGTGCCTTTCCCACTCAGTAAACCTCTCTCCAGGGAGGCCTCGATGCTGGATTGCTCCTCCCTGAATCTGGGCTGCAAGTTCTGGGGGCGGCCTTTCCTCTGACAAGCACCTCTTCTCTCTGTACTGACAGCCTCCACCTAGATCACCCCAGGAACAGACAGGCCCCAGGCTTCCTGGATGACTTGTCTTTCAAACAAGGCGGCCCTCAGGATTTAGAGCTGGAAGGACCCTGCACACTTAATTCAGAGTTTCTGAGGGACTTTTAGAACACAGAATGTTAAAGCTAAGAAGGGCTCTTAGGGGTCATGTCATTCAAACCCTTTAATTAGTAAATAGTAATTGAGGGAAATTGAGGTCAGAGAAGGGAATTGACTTCCTCAAAGTCACAAAGGTAGTAAGTAACCAAGCTAGGACTTGAACACAGGTCTTCTGACTCCAGATCTCATGCTCTTTCCATTACAGTGGTCCACACTGCTAGTATCTAATGAGCAGGCTCTTTGGAACTTAAGAATTATGACTAGAGATCCCATAGAAAGAATACCAATTAGATTGTAAGCTCCTTGAGAGCAGGGACTGTCATCCGCAGCACTTACCACTGTGCCTGGCACTTAGTAGGTGCTTAACAATGTTTATTGGATTGGATTGGACTTTCAAAGGTAGGGAGGAGGGAAGGAACCTTGCTTTTTGAATAAGTTGTCCAGAGACTCTAAGTCTCTTAAAAGAAAAGTCATTCTGCTATTTTGTCCCTACTGAAACCCTTTGTTTCTGTGTGGGTTCAGAAGTGTTACAAGACTTCTGCCCTCAAGAGGGTTAGTTCTAATTAGGAAGACAAGTTGTACCAGCGAGTGCTGGTTTGGGAGTTAGGAGACCTAAGTTCTGTTCCCAGCTCAGCTGCTAGTTTGCCATGTGACCTTGGAGAAGTCATTTCTTCACTGTTTTCTCATTTATAGAATGAGAGGTGATCAGGTTTTTTAATGTGAGGCAACTGGGGTTAAGTGACTTGCCCAGAGTCACACAGCTAGTGAGTGTTATGTGTCTGAGGCCAGATTTGAACTCAGGTCCTCCTGACTCCAGGGCCAGTGCTCTATCCACTGCACCACCTAGCTGCCCCATGATCAGATCTTCTTAATTTGGGGGCTGTGGACCCACAACTGGGCAATGGATAGATTTTAGGGGGGGGTCTGTGAATTTAGTTTTTAAAAGTTTTGATATCTGTATTCTAATATAACTGGAGTTTCTATAATCTTTTGTATTTTACTTAATGCATTAAAAAAACCCACTATTCTGAGAAGGGGTCCATAGGCTTCACCAGATAGCCGAAGGGATCTGTGTCACTGAAAAGGAATCCCCTTGATTGCCAAGAACTCTAACTCTGACATTTTATGTTCTGTGAAACAATCTGAGAGTGATTAAGTAATAAACTATATGGTGATGATGGTAAGGGCAATAGGAATTCAGAGAAGGGCAGAGAGTCAGGAAAGAGGGATGGGATTTAAGCTGAGCCAGAAGGTTTGAAGCAGCTACCAGGGCTGAGACCTGCAGCACATCTACCTTCAGTCCTTATAAATGCATCTCTACTCTGACCGATATATAAAAGGTTTAACTGACAGCTAACTAACCCACAAAGGGGAAACTGAGGCCCAGAGAGAGGAAGTAACTTTCTCAGATTCACAAATAATACAGTAAATAGCTGAAGTAGGATTTGAACCCAGAGGGCAGCTAGGTGGAAAGTGCCTAAGGGTTGGGCCTGGAGTCAGGAAGACTCCTGAGTTCAAATTTGGCCTCAGACACTTATTAGCTGGGTTACCCTGGGCAAGGCACTGAACCTAGTTTGCCTCAGTTTCCTCATCTGTAAAATTATCTAGAGAAGGAAATGGCAAACCACTCCAGTATCTTTGCCAAGAAAATCCTATGTGAGGCCACAAAGAGTTGTACACGACTGAAATGAGTGAACACCCACAACTTCTGATCCCAAATCTTGTGTTTTTTCCACCACACTGGGCTATGTTGCTAGAATCTAAAGATCTGGGGTCAAGTTTATTCAACAGAATAAACTTTAAGTCAAAATGTTTACATTGGAAGTATGTATGATTGAAGTATGAATACGATTGCACATGTATAACCTATATCAGATTGCTTGCTGTCTTGGAGGGGAGGAAGGGAAGGGAGGGAGGGAAGGAGAGAGAAAAATTTGGAACTCAAAATCTTGTAAAAATGAATGTTGAAAACTATCTTTATATGTAATTTAAAAAAACAACAACAAAATACTGTTAAGTGCAGAAAAAAATGTTTACATTGGAAGAAGAGAAGGAGACCAAGTAGGCTGAGAGGCTCAACAGTCTTTCCTCATGTGTACAAAGGGGATTGTACCATAGGTATGGAAGTTTCAGCTCTAAATCATGAGATCTTTATTGTCTTCTGCAGCCCTGACACATCCTCTGCTTAGCCCAGAAATGTTTAACTCGGGCAGAAACCACAGCTGGTCTTGTTTCTGTCATGCTTTACAGTTTACAAAGTGCCTTCCCTGAGGTAGCTCATTGAGGTTTCCCAGAGAACAGACAAGAAAACTGAGGTTCATAGAAATGAGGGGACTTGTCCAAGGCCACACAAGTAACACACGCTAGAATTGTCCCTCAGACTCAGATTTTCTGATTCCTGGTCTGATGTGCTAGGCTGCCACTCCAAGGATTGAGAGACATTTGCTCACCAAACTCCTGCCTGACCTTCCACCCGATTTCCTCAACCATGTATTCATCACCTCTTGGGCCTGAGCAGCTGAGCAGAGCATCCCGTTTCACAAGACATCTCTGGCCCTCCACTATTTCCATCTTGGGTACCTCTGCTTCAACCAGGGCCAAGTTCACATCCACCCTGGGGATGAATGGAGTGAATACCCTTGTCCTCCTCCCAAAGAGTATTCATAATGTACAGAGCAAAGTTTAACTGCAAATAAAGTCTGCCAGCTTGGAGATTCAGGCCCATGAAAGGCAGTATTGCATCATAGATAAAACCTGGGCAGGGAATCAAGGAGCTTGGGTTCTAGATCCTGCCATTTACAAGCTGAGTGACCTTATCGCTTCCCCTCTGAACCTCAGCTTTTCAACCTGGAAAATGAGAAATCTAAGTTAGATCATCTCTATGATCCCTTCCTGCAACTAAGTTTTATGTTCTGATGTCTCTTCCAGCCCTGCCAGTCTATGTTCTAAGGTCTCTTCCAGCCCTGCTAGTCTGTGTTCTAAGGCCCCTTCCAGCCTTGCCAGTCTATGTTCTATGGTCTCTTCCAGCCCTGCTAGTCTGTGTTCTAAGGCCCCTTCCAGCCTTGCCAGTCTATGTTCTAAGGCCCTTTCCAGCCCTGCCAGTGTGTGTTCTAAAGTTCTCTCCTTCACCGAGGTTCTACATTCTACGCCCCATGTTTCATTTTAGGTGTTATTCCATTTGTTTCATTCTTTTAGCAAACAGCATAACTAAGAACCTGCTCTATGTAGGGGCCTGTGTTAGGTGCTCAGAAGGAACAAAGATGAGGGAAAGGAAGAAGCATTGAACACTTACTGTCTTCCAGGCACTGTGCTAAGCATGTCTACCCCCATTGTCTCATTTGATCCTTACAACAGCCCTGGAAGAGAGGTGCTATTATTGCCCCCATTTTACAGACAAGAAAACTAAGGTTAGATGTCTCACCTGAAGTCACACAGCTAGTGTGTGAGGTCAGACTGAACTGCTGTCTTCCTTATGTCAGGCCCAGGGCTGTATCCACTGTGCCGCCTGGTTGCCTTTAAACAAGATAAATAAGTCTTAATCCTTGCCCTCAATGGGGCAATGCTCTTAAGTGGGTCTAAGAGGGTTATTAAGGTTCTCATGCTCTTTCCTATAAAAACAGTCACAATTCCCTTTATGTATATATGGACAGCGCTTACCTTTACATCTCTTCACCTTAACCTGAAATCTGTGAACTTGGCTTTTTTTTTAAAATATTTTGATAAATGTATTTCAACACAAGTAGTTTCTTCATAATCTTATATATTTTATTTTATGTACTTAAAAACGTTCTTCTGAGAAACAGTCCACGAGCATCACCAGACTGACCACCAAAGGAGTCTATGACATAAACAATGTTAGGAGCCCCTGTCTTACATTCTCCCTGATAAGGATGTAAGTCAGGGATTATTATCCCCATTTGACTGATGAGAAAATTGAGTGCTAGAAAATTTAAATGACCTAGCCATCAATGGAATAATGAAAGAAGCAGGGCTTTGTTTCAAGTTCCTTAGGTTGGAACCTTAGTCTGAATATCCACTGACTATGGTAATTGTAGATGTCGCATAACATCTCTGGGCCTCCGTTTCCTCATCTCTAAGATGAGGGTTTGTACCAGATGTCCTTTGCATCACTCTGCTGGCCTTATGACTTTCTGTGAATTCAGTCCAGAGCTGTTGGGTGAACCTTTTGGTCGTCTGGGTTTTGTGTGTTTCAGGTACGAACAGGCCTCCTGATGAACCTCGCAGGCGTTTTGCTGCTTAACTTGGCCATAAATACATGGGCCCAGAACGTCTTCCAGCTGGGGACCTTCCCAGCCTGGGCAGAGGATCACTCAAGCAATGTGACCACACTTCTCCTTGATGAGTACAACACCACTCTTCGGCCCCTCCTCAATGTCTGAGCCCCTCCCAGTAGGGTTGCTCGAAGGACTCACTTGGAATGGGGCCCTTCCCATCCCAGCCAGGCCCTCCCAGAGGGCATCTCCCACACCTGGTGCTCATCTGCAACTGGCTAGTCAAGCAATTTTGTTTCTGATCAAATAACTACCAGGTGAAGAAGACCTTCAGGACTTCTGCAGAGGACACATTCCTCCTCTACCAACACCCTCCACTCCAGCCCCCGACTCTCACAATACAGGGCACAGCTACACCTTGGACCAGATATTCCAGGGAGCTACTTCCTTTACCCCCAAGGTCTCTCATTAGTATTCAGTTGGGCCTTGTTTCTGTAGGCCTCAGCAGCTGTTGAAGGATTTGGGTTGCAAGAAATCTTCTTTCTGTGCCCCTCCATGGTTTACAAAGTGTTTTTTCACACAAGTATCTCAAGTGTTATTATGCCCATTTTACAGATAAAGAAACTGAGGCTCTGAGATAGGAAGCTACTTGCCCATGGTCATAGTTAGAGTTAGATGCAGAATTTGTACCCAGGTCTCTTGACTCCACATTCTGCACTCTGTCCACAACACCATGTTGCCTTCCCAATGAGGCACACGGCCTCCTATAAATTTAGATTAAGATGAGTCAGTAGCTCTCCTGCCATGGCCACCTCTGCTCCTTGGGTTGGCACTGAAGTAGAGTAGAAAATATTACTTGACAGATAAGAATTTGCATTTCTTTTACAGGATGTTCTCCTCATTAGATTATTTCAGTTCCTACAATGGTTTTTAGAACTATCATTTTTATATCATAGTGCCACCAAATTTCAGAAAACCTTTTTTATTTTGGAGCCAAGTTAAATTCTAAGCACATGTACACACGTGTGTGTACATACACACAGCGCACCAACACACACACACACACACACACACAGATTAAGTGGGCTTTTGCAGAATGCCCCATTGTCAATTGAGTACAGGGCCACAGAATCATAGATTTCAGAGGCCACCTAGTTTCACTCCCTCCTTTTACAGATCAGGAAATGGAGGCATCTCAAACAGGTCAGTGTCACAAGGGAACAAGGGAATAGTTAAAATGGAGTATGTTGATTTGGATATCAAGGCCGTTGAGTCTCTTGTGCAGAATCACACAGATGGAAGGGACCTTGGAAACTTCTAATACAACCCTCCCTGAGCAAGAATCCCTTCTTCAGCATCTCATGGAGGAGTATCTGGCCATTGCTTAGAAATCACCAGTGACAGGGAACTGCCACCTCCCAAAGCAGCCCTTTTCCAGTTAGGGACAACTCCAATTATTGAAAAGTTTTCCCTGACATGAAGTCAAAATCTGCTCAACGTCTATCAAGTGCCCCTAGTTTTGCCCTCAGGAGCCAAAGTGAGTGAGTCTCACTTTTCTTTCCATGCAACAGACCTTTCTTTCAGCTTAAACACCCTGTCTCTCTGGTTAGCACTGCTGCGGCACCATCCCTAGTCTTCAGACCTTTTAAAAAGAGGATTAAAAACCAATCTAGAAACCCCACTCAGAGACCTTATCCCCCAAGCAGGAGATAATCTAAAGATGTGGTGACTAATTCCCAGTCCAAACTGGGCATTTTAGACAGGACTGCCCTGCCATCTCCAGCATCCCCCTGAGCAAAAAAGGCTAACCCTTAACTGAAGGACCAGATCCGGTTCATTCTGATTTTCAGAACTTCAAGTCCTGGGTCAGAGTTGTGACTTGGACACCCCCATCTCTCTTGGGGAACCACGACTCTCTCTCTCTCTTTTTTTTTTTTTGCAAAGCACTGTGATAGTAGCAGATTTCCAGAACACATAATCAGGGAGGCAGCGAGAACAAACACACCTACAGTGGGCTTCTCACACCGAGAACATCCAGGAGCAAAGGGTGAAAGACATACAATATGGCTCAGAATTCTCAGTCTGAGACAGTGACTTTCTCTTTCCCCCTCACACATGCACACTGACTTCCCCTTGGAGTGTTTATAGAAAGGAGAGGTACGTCCTTACACTTCTGGGCCAGACCTTCCCCCTCCTAATATATATACTTCCTTCAATGGGATGAACCTTGCTGGAAGTTAGTACATGCTATCCCAAGCAATGTTATTTAAATTTATGAGAGGAAAAAAAATTGCTGATCTACCACAAAGTCTCATCTGGTTGATTTTTGTACTTTCAATGAAAGGATTTATAGGCACCAGTGATTTCCACTTATTCTTCATCTCCATTTATAAATCGTTCTTTCTTTTTCCCTCAGAATCATAGAGTCAGAGAATGTCAGAATGGGGATGACCTTAAAACAGAGAATGTCAGAGCTGGAAGGAGCCTTAGAGGAAAGAATGTGGGAACTGATTTTTCATTTTTTATGTCACAGGCCTTAGAACGTAGATTGTCGGAGCTGGAAGGCCCCTTAGAACATAGAATGTCAGCTGGAAGGGACTTTCCAGCACAGAATAATAGAATTGGAAAGGCTCTTAGAGCAGTGAATATCAGAGCTGGAAGGGAGCTTTCCAGCAATTCTACCTATTCCAACCCCCTTATGTACCCTATAGGAGAAGAAACTGAGGCCCACAGTGACTTACCCAAGCTACAGCAGTTGGTAAATGACAGAGCCTGGATTTTAACCTTAGTTCCTTGACTTGAAGCCTGGGGCTCTATGCAGCACACCTTGCACTTTGTGTATGCTGGGAAAGACCAAGCTTTCAGGTAATGAGATCAGGGAGTGAGAACTAGGAGGGCCTTGGCTTTTTGCAGGCTGGTGACTGGAGGAAATAACCGCAGGTGTTTATTTCTATTTTGCTTTAATATAAGTATGCCTGTGGGGTGCCTACCCTCCCTCTCCTCAATCTACCCCACCTACTTGTTTATCAGTACCTGAAAGTGCTATAATTTTGGATAAGGCCTTCTATCCAACAGTTAGAAAAGAGGCTAAAAAATGTCAAAAATGGGCTAAAAATCAGGGGCTAAAACTGAGTTATACTGTGGGATAAACGACTGATATCACAACCTTTCCAGGGCAAGGCAGGGCTATGAGCCCTGCAACTACACCAATAAACACTCAGTCTACCTTTAATCTCAGTTGCTGTTGATAAGGCAATTCCCTTGTAGTCTTCTGATGGGTTAAGGGGTGGGACCGTATCCAGAATCTACCTGAGGGCCTAATTCCAGAGCCCAAGTGCAGACATCTTCAGATGTCCTGATTTTCAGAGCATTCTTGATTATAAAACCTATACAATAAAAGACCTTAATTGGAACCGTACACTGCTGTGGTTTGATGTAATTGAAGCAGAATAAGCATAAAACAGTTCCCATCTACAGCATTTTATGGGTTTACAAAGCAGCTTTCCCCACAGTAACCTGAGGTGCAGACAGAAAACCACTCACTCAGGTAGGTAGAATATCCTCATTTTATAAATAAGGAAACAAACCAAGAGAGATAACATGACTTTTCCAAGGTCACACAGCTAGTAAATGGCACAGATTCACGGATTCAGCTTAGAGTTGGAATAAGCCCCAGAAGTCTAGGAATCCCTATTTTGCTATCCCCAACATATAATCATCCAGCCTTTGCTTGAACATCTCCAGTGATAGGAAATTCACTACCTACAGAGGCAACCTATTCCCTTGTGGGCAGTTCTGCTTGTTAGCAAGTTCTTCACTATGATGAGCTGAATTTCAATTCACTGTTCAACTTTGTCCTTTGAGGCTAAGCAGAATAAGTCTAAGCCCTCTTTCACAGGAATTATTTTCAGGTGCTATTACTAGTCCAGGTACTAGAAGACACTCATTGTGTTGTTCCCCTTTTCCTCCACCCCAGCTCTTCTCTTTTCCAGACTAAACATCCCCAGTTCCTTCAGCCAAGACTCATATAACTGTCTCTCTCTCTCTCTCTCTCTCTCTCTTTCTCTCTCTCTCTCTCTCTCTCTCTCTCTCTCTCTCTCTCTCTCTCTCTCTCTCTCTCTCTCTCTCTCTCTCCTCTCGTTTTCTGTATCTACACACACACACACACACACACACAACACACACACACACACACACACACACACACACACACACACGCCTCCCTATCCTGGTGACCCTCCTCTGTTTGGTTTCAATCCATCTTGTCAATATCCTTCCTAAACTGTTCCCCAGTTCCAGATGCAATATTTCATGTAGGCTCTGAGCAAGGCTCCCTGAAACTCCTGGGCTGGGATTTTCTCAATAACCACGTCTGTACTGCAGTGGATGGTGAATGGGGAAAGCACAGGACTTCGGACTTGCAGCCAACAGCAGCCTCTATTTTGAATTTTAACACACCAACGGCCCCTAACACACTGGTGGCTTAAAGCCAATCCCAGCCCCTCTCTACAGCTCACATTTCCCTGGCTATATTCATGCCAAACAACAGCTATTTTTTCTGAAACTCACCTGCCTGCCAGGAGTCATTAGGCTGGGGTCTGTAAAGAGCTTTGAGATTTGAGGGGAAAGCTTTGCAAAGAGAAAAGGCATTAACATTGTTACAATCCTGTTAATGGCAGCAGAGAGAAGTGGACCCCATCAGGACACCCAGTGTCCTAGGTCACGCAATGCCTGGCAGGGGACTTTCTTTTTGAAACAGAAACCAGGAAGCAGCTCAGAAACCCCATAGCCAGATTTGTTGTGTTAGACACAATGTAGTCTTACAGCCTTTCATCAGATCACACAGGGCAGGCAGGGATCTAGAAACTAGGTCATATCCCTACCCCAGTGGACGTTTCTTTATTGCACACTCACTCTCATACCAGCTCTCAAACCTCACTTAGATCTTATCCAACACTGACTTTTACTGTCTAATTTCACCCAAATGTATACTCAAAACAGTTTTGATTATTCCTTCTATGATACTATGCTTACATCTCCTAGGTAGGTCTCCCAAACCATTCAGCAACATACACTTGTCCTGAGACTGTCCAGATACTCCTGATACCAACTCCTCAAATGAATTACATACCTTTGTTTCTCCTGGTTGTTGCCCTGATTCAATGAGAGAAATGGCAGGAATCTTCTATGATGGTGTAAATACTTACTCCTTTCCTGTTTCAGGTCCAGAGCACCTTAAGAACTTGACAAACTCAAAACTGTAGTTTTGCTCCCTCCTTTCCCTCTTCCCACAGGTAGAGATGCTAATAACTACAGTGGGAGTAGGGGGTGGGGGATAACCCCAGGGTTCAGAGAAGCCACACCTACCCCACAAGTTCCTGGCTTGTCCTGAGATAAGGACTCAGCTACAGCCATGGACAGGTTTGGCAGATGCTCACAAAAGATCATGTGAAGAGCCCCAGAACTTAGCACCCAGCTCCACATACATGCTGTTGTTATTTAGTCATTTTCAGTTGGATCTGACTCTTTGTGACCCCATTTGGCATTTTCTTGGCAAAGATAGTGGAGGGGTCTGCCATTTCCTTCTCCAGCTTATTTTATAGAGGAGGAAACTGAGGCAAACAGGGTTAAATGATTTGCCTAAGGTCGCACAGCTAGTAAGTGTCGGAGGCCAGATTTGAACTCAGGGAGATGAGTCTTCCTAATTCCTAATCCTGGCACTCTCCTACCGGGCCACTCCACACATATCCAACTATCACAAAGCTTAAAATTCCACCATTCCTTCTTGGTGGTAGGGCAGGAGACGGGGTGCTATAAAGGCTTTTCCAGCTGTCCAGAATCAGTCACTTACGAGAATGCAATAGTTCCTGAGAGGAAGGTACACATTCTACTCTTTTCAGGCAATGCTTTAGGTGAAGAAGACTGGATTGGAGGTGGGAGATGATCTGATGACAAATTGTTTACTATAGAATCCTAGAATCTTTGCTAATACTCCACTTTCCAGATGTCTGATCTCTGTCTAGTTCTCAAAGAAAACTTGGACTTAGTAGATGAGTAACCTGACAAAAGACTCAGTATGATCATAGGGTCAAAGATCTAGGGCTGGAAGGGACTTCAGAGATTATCTAGTGCAACCCTTCCTTGAATAAAAATTCCCTCGATAACATCCTCAGCAAGTAGCCATCCTATCTCTGTTTGAAAGTCTCCAGAGATGAGAAGCCCATGACTGCTCAAGACAGTCCATTCCATTTTTGAACAGCTCTAATTGTGGGGAAGTTTTCCATGTATCATGCTTCTCTGCAGTGTCCTCTCATTGGCCCTCTGGGGCCAAGCAGAATAAATCTAACCTCTCTTCCACATTACTACATGAAAGCATTTACATACTTGAAGACTGTTCTCATGATGCTCCCAAGTCTTCTGTTCTCCAAAGAGTTCAACAGGATCCTACCTCCCCTTCTTCCTTCCTTCCTTCCTCCCTCTCCCCCTCCTTCCTCCCTTCCTTCCTTCCTTCCCCTTCCTTCCTTCCTTCCTTCCTTCCTTCCTTCCTTCCTTCCTTCTTCCTTCTTCTTCCTTCTTCCTTCCTTCCTTCCTTCCTTCCTTCCTTCCTTCCTTCCTTCCTTCCTTCCTTCCTTCCTTCCTTCCTTCCTTCCTTCCTTCTTTTTTCTCCTTCTACAAGTATTTATGGAGAGCTTATTATATGCAAGGCTTTGTGCTGGGCACCATGTCTGCCTCCAAAGAACCCATAGCTAGTTTGAGTGAGACAAGTCTCATACACGTGGAAAAATAATTAGCAGTATGTGGGTGGTACACAAAAGTCAGGTCCATAGGAGTTCAGGGGAGGAAAAGATCATTGACATATGAGGTAGTCAGGGAAGACTTTCTGGAGCAGATAAAAATTGAGTTTGACCTGGAAAGATACACAGGGCTTTTCTATAGACAGAGGATAAAAGGGCATTCTGGGAAGGGGAAATGGCATAAACCATGACTGGAATGAGAAGTTATGTTTAGGGAACAAGGAAGCCAGTTTGATGGAAGAGGAGGGGACCAATGGGAAATAGGAAAGGTATGTAGGGACCATACTGTATATGGCCTTGAATGCCAGAATGAAGAATTTGGCCTTCATCTTCTGGGTCATTTGGAGGCATGGCAGAACTTTGAGCAGGGAAGGAATGTGATGGAAGTGTAACAAATGAATGGAAGGAAGGGGCATGTTAGAGACCAAGAGATTGGTTAGGATGAGCTGTGATTACAGAAGAAACCAATAAGGTCATCTAGCCTAACCCTCTCACATCACAGGTGGGAGAAATT